TTAGGGCAACTCGCTGTCTATTAGTCAAATAAAATTGTATTTACTGCCCAATTTATTTTAGTCTGATTTATTGGTTAAATACGTTCTCTTGTCTTTCAAAGATTCATAAATTCTCATTAATTAAGAGTTCTTAGCAATATTAACGGTTATTTTTTGATTACATATCTATATAAATAATTGAAAATCGTAAATACTTGAGGTCATTCACACAAACACATGATTTGAATTTGTCCAGCTGTAGGCATTGGTCCTGCATGCTCAAATATAAAAGAGCGATTTAAGAATGAGTCACTGACAGAATTTGCTTGATACAGTAGACAATTATTTTTTGGTTTGACTATTTAAATAAAGCACTTAAGCGCGATATATATTAGTTGCACTTATTTCAAAATTATTTTAACTACGGCCCGACGTTTCGGATGCTTTGCAGTAGCCGAGGAGGTTTAACGCGTTTTAGATCGTTAAAGTGTTTTATTTAAATGTTTAATACTCGCGTAAACTACAGACTGTATTTAACGATTCTAATAAAAAAAATAAAGAACAACTCAAAAGTATTTATACCACCGACGCTTCATAGTAGTTTTCCGCGGTGTCCCTGAACTGCGCAGATATTTTATGAAGCGGTTTTGTTATTGTATATTATGTGTAACTGCTTATCACCAGTTTTCCTGGACAAGTCAGAGGATCTACAAAACGGCTGCTTTATGTGTGCGTTATATAAGCTAGCGAAGTATCGATTATCGATATTTTGTACACTTTATTCTTTTATGCGATATCGGTCTATTTTGGTTTTGGATATCCGGAAATCCACAGACTAACACTTTTCTCGAATTTTTAATATTTCTACCACCCACCTAATATCTAGATTTCCAGACAAAGTTCAACATGTTACAGAAAAGTCATAATTCAAAAAATTTGCAAACATATTGGACCCCGTGAGGGTCGAACCCACGCCCCGTTAATTATTAGACATTAATTGCTACCATTTAGTTACAAATTAGGGGAGTGGGGTCTTAGGGGTTGTAGTATATCCTACTTTATTTTTTCTACCTATATTTTACTTCACCATCACAATTGTCCATGTATTTAAAACTTGACTAACCTCAGAATGACATTGTAAAACAAGTCATCATCACGCTTTATGACTCTAGACTCTAACGGACCAAAAAATCTATTAAAAAATAATTACTACTTACAACAAATTGGGGGCCATTTGACTGTGGAAATTCCCTTTTGCTGTAAAACTAAACAACGTCACGCGTTAATGAGTTTCGTCTTAAGCATCAATTATGATTTTTGCAAACTTATTGAAGAGACGACTGCTTTTTATACCTCCACATTAGCGATAATGCTTTGTTATTTTTTGTTAACTTCACAGCTTAATGTGTACCATTCGACAAACATATTATTTAAAATTGCTTTAAATTACTACCATTCAAAACTTTTAAATGTATATAAATAAATCTTTCTGTCTCTCTACCTCTACGTGTATTTTAATTACATTTATCAATGATCTTATATATTTCGTTCAATTTTTTTTTAATTGTTTTTTAGTTCGTCCTACGAAATTTCATAAGTCGTAAAACATCGATAAAAAGAGAAAACACACATCGTTAAGTCTCCAGTTTCGTCATTAAAGTATCGATGTCGCCGCCCATCCCTAGATCAAGTGAATGAACCATCTTGCATCAGTGTGCCAACCGCCGCCGTGTCAGCCCGTACTAAGTACGGAACTGGGCGTGATCCGATAAACAAACGACGTAACTCGCGCGGTCCGCACGCCATTATATAACTTGTGTCGTTGTGTTACGGTCATATTTTGCATAACGCGATGGTCGCTGACGAACTGCGCTCAGAAATAGTGCAAAGGTAAGCCGAGTTGTTTTATGTTATCCTGGTGCATTCCTTTACATCTATTGAATTGGAAGAATCCGATTTGATACGTTTTCCTCATAGAAATAGCGATGATAGATAAAATACCTGATTCTTAACATATTCTTGCTTATTTTAATATCTGGTTCGTCTATAAGTAAATAAATACGAAGGACATATAAAAGTACCTTCATTTTTGTAATTTCTATGTGCAAAAGTACCTTCTTTAGCGTACTTACTTGATTTTCTGTACGAAAGTAACAATTTCTTGCCTTTTACACAAAAAAAGGCTTGTTACCTTCTAGTTTATACCTATGTAGGTATATAAAACGTTTTGTTTGTAATGTCGGTATTTAAAATTATAAATTTATTCTATCAATCTAAGTACGCTCATGTATAGAGAACGATATAATTTTCTGGTATACTCAATAATTGGCCAGAAAAGTCAAGATATTATACAATTAAATCCGTATTTTACAATAGTTCTATTGCTTAACACAATTTATTTTTAACTAGTAACCTAATTATGTATTACATAAGTGCATATTATGTATACATTTTTTAAACGACTACCCACGAAAAGGACTTGTCGAATGCCTTGGTAGGCGCCTACCGCCTTAAAAAATTGAAAATTTCTTTAATTTGTTTTCAATTTGGACTTGCTACTGTGTCCTCGTTAGGAGTCCTGTTTACTCCGTGAAAATTGGTTAACCTGTGTGTCCGATACTTGTTCGGAGTGATTGAATAAATTTAGATATGCGTGACCAAGCGAATGCTACGTCTTCAGAGTCAAAAACCATTTCACTTATTTTTTTTCTTGGTATGGCGATACCAGCTCGTTTTCAAATATAAATTTAAAAAAGCGGGTTCACTATATGAAAAGTGATTTACCTCAGCTTTTTGACATTACATATGAGGCCTATCAACGTAATTTAGCTGTAGCCATTTTGGAAATCCATAGACTGCAGCAAAAATGCTTTCTTACGCGTTTTTTTACTATTATTCATTTGTTGATAGTTGTCCGAACGGAAATTTGATAGGTATTCCGGCATATATTGCCTAATTTTGAGACAAGATCTAACATGTTTTCGAAAATGCAATGGTTATCGACCCCGTGGTTATTATAATCTTTGTACCATGGGCCCAATGAGCCATCGTATCGGTAGCCTTGACATGATGTCCAAAAATAAAACAGCAGAGATTTACTTGTTTGTAAACACACGAGGTTTTGACGCGAACCGACCTTGGGAATACAAATACACTCAATATGCATAATATATACGAAACATTATATTTATTCTCGTAACTGCGATTTAAGTATATAAATTTGGGTTTTTTTGCGGAAATTTCTGTGGTTTTCCTTGTATTGATAAAACGTACTTTTCAAACACAAGTCAGAAGCCCAACTATGGGAATTATATATATATATAGGTTGGTGATGAATTTGCTATACATATGAGGCCGCTAGAGGCAGAATAGCCCAACTGCATTTTTATGACTTAAGTTATTTATATTTTCATAGTCTAAAAATGTTAATCTACAAGAGCAGAGTGACCGAAAATTGTTAACATACATAATTCTTAAACAAATAATAGTACAAATTCATTTCGCCTAAGTTAATAGCGCATTTTTATTTTCCTCCTTATTGAGAATCCTATTTTTTTGTTATCAGGCCACTCTGCCTCCAGCAGCCTCATACATTCTATGCATTTATTTAGATATAATTACTGACTAAGTTATTTCTATCATGATGTGGACTTCAATAAATGGGGCGTATTTCTATAATCTATGGAAATTTTAGAGCTGGCAATTCGAATCATGATCTGTGGAGTATACCACAGGCAAAACACAATACTCGGAATAACTAATTACTGTAATTTATGTTATCTGTGATCAATTAGATGTGCATTATTTTTTATCTAGTGCATAATTATGTTAAGATTCCGTGATATGTGTCTATATCTTACTAGAATTTTTTTAAAGTGATACTCAATTGAATATTATTTCCTTGTTTTATTTATTAGCTTCTCAAATAGTAGTAATATGAAAACTATTGTCGTTTATATGACTAATTATTTTTTTTTTTAAAGAATATTTAAAAGATTTCATATTGTTTAATACCTTTAAATTTAATTTACACTTTTTCATTAATATCTATCAGAAGACTTCTTTATTAACAGTGAAAAGTCGTTGTGTTATGTTTATATTGAAATTTTACAGCTCTAGTTAATATATAAAAAAATATTTGTCATGTTTATTTACCGTTTATGGTAAAATTGTAGCTGTTGTTATTACAACCCTATTAGACCCTATAGGGCTATAGATCTAGAATGACTTGGCTACATTTGTTTGTCGTCCTACTATGTTGGCGTTGAAATTAAATTGCATCGAGTGACCATTATTTCAACACAATAATATAATTAATATATTTTTTAATTTTGTGACGCAACATACAACATTTTTTATACTTAAAAGATGTCAATAATTAGAGTTTATAGGCTACGGTAAAATTATAATAACTAACTAATAATGCAACAATAATTGTGGGCAAATAGCGTTATGCTATTGATTATAACAATTAATTATGCAGAAACCCACACAATATCGAATTAAAGCCACGTGTACCATTGATGCAAGATGACACGAGGCAATTAGCACTTTTAAACAAATATACCTTCTGACTACGATGCAGGCAAATATAAGATATAAAAAGACCACTGCTTTTATATCAGTTTTACATTATTTTATAGGTATTACCACTACTGTTCCACCATGTTTTAATATACTTGAGATCAATTCCCACCGGGTCGAATATATTTGTAAGAAATCGATTTATAATTTTACAGAAACAGAAAAAAAAAAATGGTAGTAAAAAATATATCGGAAATCCAAGTCACGGGCCACCACAAATAAAAAAAAACCTTAAATGTGTGTGCTTGTATAGTCTGTGGATTAACAAATGTCATAAGCGCACATCTTTTGTGTTTTATAGCGGGAGAATTCCTCAAGTTGATTCCATGCTTGCCTATGCATTTGCAAAAACCACTGCAACTATAACAGACTTTGACAATTGACATTAATGCTTATAAACCTTATATTCGTGTTAATAAATAACTGTTTTTTTCCAGGATGTCAACCCTGCTCTTCTGGCAGGGCAAGGGCAAGGCGAACGGTGCACCCAATGGAAGAAATTGGATCCATGCACCTGACGCGCTGGTGAAAGGACATGTGGCGTATTTAGTTAAGGTAAATTTTGGTTTTTTGAGTGCGTACAAATTGGTTCTTACATCTGAAACAAAGAGAGGACACCGAGTTCTGTAATGACCCAGCCAGAGTCTACAAATATCAACTACGACAAAACAGATGGCGCTAGTTATCAGATTTGACTTTGACATTAGGGACACATTCCATCTTCAGTCTCCTCCGTCTGATTGTCTGTCATTTTGTCTGGTGACTACTAATTGCTAATAGTAAAGTTATTAGTCGAGGATGTCTAGGCTGCAAAGCAACACGCTGCGAAGAAACAAAGGAAAATGTGGAGAAAACGGGGAAAATTATTCATTTTTCATGATTTCCGTTGCGTGCGTTAGGAAATATGTATAAAAGAATAATTCCTGTTTAAATTATCTATAAAAAGCAAAGGAACTATACGCGGACGAAGTCACTGACACAGCTAGTGAATAATATTTATTTGCGGCTATCGCGTCCTGTCGGGTACTCCATTTGCAATTCGCAAATGTCAAAAAAACTAGTTACGAAGATACCTATAATTGGTACATTGACATCGCCCCGTTAAAATATTGCTATACTTAAATATTCTTGTATTTTTATTTACGAGTTGTGTACATCGATAACTGTAAGAAGTCTTTTTTACTGTCTTCAGTGAAAGAAGATTGTTCTTACATATATTTTCTTTGTATTTTTTGCAAATTAAAATGAAAAAAATATTTATTTTGTTCGGTCTCTAATCACATATAACGATATTTTAATATTTTTACATTTGCATAACTTAAAAAAAACATAAACAAAAATATGTGATACCCCAATACTTCAATTTTATAAAAGGGGGGTACCCTTTAAATCAAACACTTTCAACGGTTTAAAACGCGAAATGTATTAGTTAACCTATTTACTTTATTTTAACTACCCGATGTATCGAATGCTATGCCGAAGCCAACAGGGGGAACGACTAATGCATTTCGCGTTTTAAACCGTTAAAAGTGTTTGATTTAAAACCGTGTAAGATTTTAATCGCGCTATAACTACAATAATGGAAGTTTGTTTAGTGTAAATAACCAATTAACATTCAAGTGAAGACCTTACAGAGTTCAATAAAATAAGAATCTTCGCCCTCAAGAGGTGAAGGATTTTTCTTTGTCAAACGACCTTCAATTAGGCGTGTTTCCTTTCACCTTATACTAGGATTTCAATGTAGGATATATGCTTGTTTAAAACTACAATATCATACCATACAAAGCTTAATTTTTTACTTAAATATTTTTTGCTTCAAAGTTATACATTATAGCTTCCCACGACGTCGTCCCCGTCCCGTCGTTCTTGCAAAATAATCTTATAAGTTAGACATATGTGTGTCAGTGTCGTGGACATTTTTTTAGATCGTTTACAGAGGAATCATTCGTTCCTACATATTTTTCGGAAACCCTGAATAATTCCCTCCGTTTTCTTCATATTTCTTACTGTTTATTCGCTCATATTAGTCACACACCGATGTTTTAGCCTATAGTCTTATTTATTTAGTCTTCCTCAATTAATGCTCTAACCAGCACAAAACAATATTTCAATTCGAACCAGTAGTTTCTGAGATTAGCGCGTTCAAACAAACAAACCGCGAGTAGTATACATTTAAATAAAACACGTGTAACTTATTTATAAATGTATTAAAACTACGCTCTAATATCATCAAATATCAAGTGGAACGTAACAGATGGCGGTAGTGTTGCAAATTTGACATTAGGGACACCCTCCATTTTCAGTACCCCCGTAAGCAGGGATGTCATGATTTTCGTTACTATAGTGTCATATAATATATTGTACTTAAAGCAAGAAGTACACATTTAACGGGTACCATGGGTAGTTTAAAACCGTCACAAAGCATCTAAAACGTCGGGCCATGGTTTAGATATATTAAAATTAATTTAACTAATACATTTCGCGTTTTAAACGGTTAAAATATAACCGTTGTACGATATGATACACAATGCACAAATGCAGGCCTACTTAGAGCAGAGCATTCACTCTAGTCATAATTGCATTGTGCTGATAAGACCCGACACCGCCCACATGGCGATAACGAGCTATTAACACGTGGCGGTATCCAGTAACTATCGCTTCGTTTATCGAAAGACTAAATATATCGATTTCCCGGATAATTCTGCAATAGGGTTGCCAGTTATATTTCCTCCTAACATTGTTTCCGTCTAGATAGGTTTTAAACGCGTTTACTTATTTTTAATGACGGCCCGACTCCAAAAGCTTTGAAGCAGCCGCGGGGGGACAAAATGCGTTTTATTTAAATTTGAATCTACCTTTAAACTTCTTTTTCTTGATCTTCCGTTTTTCTGTTAAAAACTTCATAGCTCTAGTTCACTAGGAGCCCTAGGCGAATATCTATACATGGCCGTTAATTTGATGTAGATCTCATAAATTTTGTTCTTCGAACTTCGATTCGACATTCTGAACATTTCTGACAATTCTGACATTTCAATGTAATAGATCAGGCTGTTTGAATATCAGAGTTGAAAGGGAATCTTAAAGTATTATCAAACTATGGCCCAACGTTTCGGATGCTTTGCGACGGTTTTAAACTACTCTAACGCCCGTTAAATGTGTACTTCTTACTTTAAGTACAATATTTTATATAACACTATAGTAACTTAAATCATGACTAAACAGTATTAAGTAATGTTATTTTTAGCTTAAAACAGTCAAACTAATTTGTTGAGATATAGACGTTTTAATCAATCAAATGAACAAATATTTCCCAAACAAATAATACTATCTATACTTAGTAAGTGAGGATATCTTCAATCGTTCGAAGCTAGTTAAAAAATACGGTAGGTAGTGAAGGTACATGCGCAGGAGTGGAATAAAAAATAAAATAATGCAGTTGCATACGATGTCACGGTCAACGCATCAGAGTATCATGCAACATGCAATGTTTACTTTAAACATTACACGTTTTAAATTGTTCTGGTTCTGTTATATATTCGTAGGAATCTTATTACGAAGATATATATTATGTACTGGAAATAAAGATTTTTTTCCTTCTGTAAAGTAACTTTATGAGAAGCATGTGAAATTATAATTGAATTCAGATAATTTGGGGAAATAAAACGCAAAAATATATTGGTATGGTGTAGTTTTATTGTATACTAGCCGCGTCCGCGACTTCGTTTGCGTGGAATGGTTATTTTTGGCAAAATTTGTTTTTGCAAAACTCCTCCTCATCTTCAGAAATTTATGCTGGTACCCACGACGTTATCAGCGTTCCGTTGTTCTTGCAAGTTAATCTTAAAATATAGACATATACTGTCGCGGACACTTTGTTAGATCGTTTAAAACGAAAACCACAAAGATAAATAATTTTCCTCGTTTTTCCACATTTACCACTTTGCCACCAGCCTTACTCGATAAATGCTCTAACCAACACAAAACTCTCAATTCGAACCACTAGTTCCTGAGATTAGCGCGTTCAAACAAACTCTTCGGCTTTATTACATTAGTATATAGTTTTATCATTTACAACCTTCTTTACAATTACTTGTTATGGTTATTTTTTATATTTCAGTTCCTAGGCTGTACGCAAGTAGATCAGCCAAAAGGCATCGAGGTAGTCAAAGACGCCATCAAGAAGTTACAGTTTACGCAGCAATTGAAGAAATCGGAAACGAAAGATGCGGCGAAGTGCAAGAAAGTGGAGATTACAGTGTCTGTTGACGGTGTTGCCATTCAGGTAAATTTCACCAATTTTCTGTAAAAAACAACATTTTTTGTACTATCTTCTAGTTGAAAATATAGAGAAATTCAATATACGCTTGAAAATATAATTACTCTAATCTAAGTAGATAGATTACAATAAAATACACAGGTTAAATTTATTTATAAATTTAATGTTTTAATGAATTCAAACACTTAACGGTTTAAAACGCAAAATGTAATAATTAGCTTATTTATGGTTTATGTATTTTAATCACGACCCGACGCTTCGGATCCTTGCCCAACTGAGACCACGGCTTAAACCAATTGTAAATAAGTTAGAAGATTTCGCGTTTTAAACCGTTCAATTAAATGTGTACTACTGGCATAAATTACGGACAATACTTCGACTTGTTATACGAATCTTACGTAACTTTTGATAAATTTAAAAAGAATATAATTTATTTATCATCTTTGAATTTCAACTAACCCTAAGTTTGAATGTAAAAAGTGAAATCTACTCGCGATTCGTCCATTTTGGGTCTGTGATGGTGGAAACGTGACTGAAATAAATAATTTGAATAGAAATTGTGAAACAGCGTTGCTTCATCGCTTAAGTTTCTTTTTGAAAGTGTTTTCGAGACGATAGTTTGTAATTTGTCTTGGAACAAGTGAGTTACGAACTTGCAACTTGGTACAAAATAAAGCAGTCTATTAATTTATTAATAACTTCGTCTAAATATAGAGAAGGACGGCATGACATACTCTTACCATTCAAGGATATAAAATCACTATGTTACGAAGTTTATATTAACTACTACTTTTGAGGCCCAAGAAGTCTTGAAATGAAAATAAGTAAACAAATACTGTCTATAGTTTATGCGAGTTACACATTTCAATAAAACACTTTAACTGTTTAAAACGCGATATATTAGTTAAACTTATTTGGAAATGATTTTTAACTTCGGCCCGACGTTTCGGATGCTTTGCAGCAGCCGTGGTCACGGGGAGACTCATTTCCAAATGAGTTTAACTAATATATCGCGTTTTAAACCGTTAAAGTGTTTTATTTTAATAAGTAAACAATCAATTTTGACGAACCTAATCATTAAAAGTTTAAGTTAATATTTTTTGATGATTATTCTATATATACAAGCATGTGGTACACTCGATGGTAGGTAAAATATCCCTGCCATATAACATCTCGACAAGATGCGTTCACGACCTATTTCTGGCTTTGGAAATTCGGAAAAAGTAGAAAGCTAACAAATGATAGCTAACAAGCAACCTTTTTCCACCTTTTTCTTTTATTTCTAATAAAGAAAGAGAGCCATTTTATTGGACTATAGATCGGCTAGGCTACAGTCTAGGTCCTAGGATATAAAGTTTTACCTTCATGATATTAGAAAGATTATTCACCAAGCTCTAAGTATAGAAGCACAGTCATGATCCGTCCCTCTCTAATTTCCGTTGCTTTCACGTCACGGCGCATGCGCAAGGTCAATTGTAACCGCTCAACTATCTGTCATTAAAGTTCTATCATTATCATGGGCGGGTTGTTCCAAGCTGTCCGTTACAGTAGACGTTACGTATGTTACATTACGTTACTTCTTGACGTTGCTCCTATTTAGAATCAAATCTTTGTCAATTTTAGAAGACAAATCTCGCTATAAAATGACGCCTTATAATATCTTAATCAGTTGTGCTATGGATTTTTATATTTGGAAAGCCTAAACGCACTTAGTCTTCACGGCGTTTTCATGTTGGGACGGTGGTTCGTGATCCGGAAAGAATTTTGATATTCCTATCACTCATTTAATCCAATCCAATCCAAAGTTCCAGACTAAGTCCAAGGTGTTTTAGAAAAATTATGATTTTAATTGTAAACATTTGAGCGGTTGAACCCACGACCCGTTGAAGCCATACATTAAATACTATCTATAATATACGCGAGTAGTACACATTTAAATAAAACACTTTAACGGTTTAAAACGCGATATATTAGTAAAACTTATTTGAAAATGATTTCTAACTTCGGCCCGACGTTTCGGATGCTTTGCAGCAGCCGTGGTCACGGGGAGACTGTAACCGCGTACTAATACTAATAGATCCCGTTTTAAACCGTTAAAGTCTTTTATTTAAATAAATAGCCATACAAATCTACCGTCAGACAAGCGAACCCGTCTGATACCTGTGATAATCTATAATATAAAATGATGAATTATTAAACTTTGTTTTGCTTATTCTAAATATGTATAAAAACTGGTGTTTTGTAATTTTTTAATTACACAATTATAGGCATATTTATTCTGAACTCACATTAATTTTGTATTTGTCACTTTAAATGCAACATTTGTCACGATCTGTCAAGTTGTAAATTCAAATTGAAAACTATTAATTAGTTATTCAAAACTTGTTTTCGCCTATCAATCATATATACATAGTTACAATCACTGCCAATGACTATGGTTCTATGACTTAACGTGACACAGAAAGAGACAACACTAGACGTTTACAAATAAGAAAGACACGGATTAACACGTCTTTCTGTTTTCAGGAGCCGAGATCGAACAACGTAATGTATCAGTTCCCGTTGCACAGGATATCCTATTGCGCTGATGATAAGGGCGCGAAGAAATACTTCTCGTTTATAGCCAAGGGTAATTATTTTATTCAATGTTGAATCCACTACCCTTCTTGTATTAGGCAAGTCTACCACTTTGATTTATTTTATTGGTTCTAACCTCAAAACTATCGTTACCGGTCCAGTACAATTGTGGTCATTGCTTCTTGTGTGTGTTATTAAAAAATGAATACTATTTTGTAGTAAACCCGATGTCTCATACATACATTTAAAATCACTTATTCTTTTTCGTGTTAGCCATGTCTTTATGAGTAAAGTGTGTTTTCTTGACTTATAAAACGGATTTACTGCTCTAGGTGGCAGCACCGTCAACGGCATGAACGGTCACGATGGTGGAAATGTGGAGAAGCACGAATGCTTCGTCTTCATCTCTACGAAATTAGCGTCCGAGATCACTCTTACTATTGGACAAGCCTTTGATCTTGCTTACAGGTAAGAAGTTTCTCTCTAACATTACAATTTTTATATTTTTTGCTGCTAAATACCAAAATTATTATTCTGAATATTAAATGCCATTAGAGGCCAGCAGCGCATCTTGTTTAGATCTTATATAGTCTTCCATCAAGTGTACTTCTCGTCTGTCTTCCTTTATATTAAACAAATATCACCTTACAATCAACTCAGTGAACTATTAAAATATTTCCAAATGTACATTTGATTTAAATAAATACGAATAAAATTTTGTATAAAACACTTTCAACGGCTCAAAATACATTTTTTAATATAGCCCAACCTTCCAGATGCTTGGTCACGGTGACACTGAAAACATCCGAATTGTCTGGTTGTTTAATTTCGTCTTAATTGTTTTATTCAAAGGGGTACTACTCGTGTTTATTACAGATTATTATTAACAATAACGCGTTACGTTTTCAGACGGTTCTTGAACGACAACGGCAAATATATCGAACTACAAAAACTCACGCTGCAAAACAAGAGGTTGGAGTTACAAATGAACGCATACAAACATCGTCTACAGGTATATCCATACAAGGAGACTTAGTTTATGCGTAAAATTTTACATTATAAGATGACTAATATCAGTTTAACTGAAATTGTGGGCTGTCTAATTTTGAAGCACTAATAACTAAGGAACTAACTGACTATTACCAGGCCTTATATTATTATAAAAAAAAACTTACGCAAACTCGGTTTATAATTTTCCACAGTAAAACCGTCAAAATGTAAAATGGCGTTTGATGGAACACGGTTAGAATAGAACAGTACAACAACCTTTACAAATAATCTTAATCTTATTTAATTAAATACACCAATATAGTTGCCTCTGAGGAAGCCAGTCAGCTATGTTGGGACCAACACCTGATATTCTGTGGCCTTCAGAAGCCGAGCTAACGCAACATCGTTTTACGTTTTGTCCATTATACACACAAACACTTACCTAAGTGTTCAAATATTACCTTTCAAGTTAATTGCCTTTTTCCACCCCTCTCTATGGTTTTCCTTCACTTCAGGTCGCCTGGAAGAGATCGTTGGTTAGCGATAAGGCCGCCCTTTCCTTATAAGCTCGTTCATAAGTTTTTGTATTCATAAAACAAATCCAAAAGTAAAATAAACACAAAAATACATTACAATTTTATATTCATGAAATATTCTTACTTTTCTTCTTACAGGAGCTATCGAAAATAACATACAAAGACGACTTATCGTCATACTTGTCGCGGAACAACATTTCCGACATCACAGACTTCAAACCTCCACCGGAACTAGAGAAGCAAATCTCCTCTCTCACTCTAGCTAATGGGTTCGCCTGTAACGGGAATAAGACGCCAGATTTTGGTAAGTTCCCTCTATACTTATATTATAAAGCTGGAAAGTTTGTTTGAACGCGCTAATCTCAAGAACTACTGGTTCGAGTTGAATATTATCTTTGTTTGAGATAGACCACCAATCTTTAGGCTATATAAAAATAGGAGCAAAGGAACTGGGAAATGTAAAAAAAGGGGATAAACCCTGAGAGCTTTCGTTGCGAATGCTGCAATAATGTAAATGTAGATATTATATTTTCTTTTTACGCTCTGTTTTAACACGTAGAGCGTTAAAACAGGTCTGTAGCTTATGTGAGTGGTACATGTTAAAATAAAACATATTTGTCTCCCCGTGACCACGGCTGCTGCAAAGCATTCGAAGCGCCGGGCCGAAGTTAATAATCAAGTTCAAATAAGTTTAATATATTAGTTAAACTTATTTGAACCTGATATTTCGCGTTTTAAACCGTTAAAGTGTTTTATATAATCATATTTAACGGTTTAAAACGCGAAATGTCGAGCCGTAGTAAATATAAATATATATTTAAACTGTTAAAAGTGTTTCACTTAAATAACTAATATTTTTAACCGTTCCGTTCACTCAGGCGCAGACGCCATGTCCAACAATTCAACAGACACGTTCAATTCAAGCAACGACAATAATCTGCTCTTATCAACCCCGCCTCCCACGCACAACAATAAAACTGGGTAAGTTCTAGATAACACGACACAAATAGTGATCCCAACTGTTTCCTTTTTAACTATCACATTTAGGCTTATTTGACATAAGCTTGTTTTATATGGGACGAAGTAGTTGTAGGTATAGTTAAAAATAAACGAGAAATAAAAGTGATTACATAACATGCATTTGCCGTTTAGACCCGTTAAAAGTATTTTATTAAAATTAAGAAATACTGCTCACGTAATGGCATATCATTTATTTATATAATTTTAGGCGTAAACGAAAAAATATAATTGTATATAAAAAATATATCGCGCGCTATATTGATATGTTCTGGTTTTATTTCTTATAATTTCATATAATACGATGATATTGATATCATTGTCCTGTTGTGGTTGTCTTCCAGAAACTCAACAAAATCGTCTGTACTCATAAATAAAGTCTCGTATATTTTAATAGTACACGAAATAAATGATTTATTAAAATTTTTCACATTTTTTATCCAACATTAAACAAGGTATAATTTTATAATTATTCGCAAACATCTCGATACAATACAGTTTAACTTATATGCGATATATTAATAAACAACTTTTATTCCTCATTTTTTGAATAAAACACATTGCCGATTTAAAACGCGATATATGTTAGTTAAACTTATTTGAAAATGATTTTTAACTTCGGCCCGACTTTTCGGATGCTGTTCAGTAGCCGTGGTCGCGGGGAGATCAAATAAGTTTAACCAATATATTTCGCGTTTTACACCGTCAAAGTGTTTTTTCTACAACAGACAGTATTTATTCTTTTGTCTCTGTTGTTCAAATATAAATTACACTTGTTAGACTGAGACAAAAGTGTAAACAAATTGTTTTAATATTTCTATTGGTTTCACATAGTTTAGCATTCATGTGCTTAAATACAGTCTATAGTTTACGCGAGTAGTACACATTTAAATAAAACACTTTAACCGTTTAAAACGCGATATATTAGTTAAACTTATTTGAAAATGATTTTTAACAGCCTCCCCGTAACCACGGCTGCTGCAAAGCATCCGAAACGTCGGGCCGAAGTTAAAAATCATTTTCAAATAAGTTTAACTAATATATCGCGTTTTAAACCGTTAAAGTATTTTATTTAAATTCATGTGCTTCTTTTAACGCCACTTTTCTTTAACCTAACTGTTCTGTGTTACAGAAAACTCCTGGGAGACTTGCCATCGAGCAAGAACCCGTCGGTAGGCACCAAGCTAGAAGGTCTTCTCATGAACTCAGATTCAGACAGCGGTATGTATATACAATATACAATACAATGTTTCAGAAAAAATATAAACTTAGGAACATCTTGGACGCAGTGGAGATCGAATCCACGACCTGTTTATTATTAGCCATATATTAGACCTCGGAGCCCGTCAATCAAAGGGGCTCTAATAGTGTTTTAGGGTTTTTTGGTAAGAGATAATTATAAAACAGCTTATGGTTGAACCTCTATTGTCAAACATTCTGTTAACCTTGAAAGCCTGGGAAGACAATTTGTTTGAGGATTCTGATCAGCATGCCAGTGAATTAAGTTAATGATAGAAATGGATAATATAATTTCGATGCCAAATAGGTCTAATATTTTTCTAATAAATTTAATTACCCTGATTCAGTTTCAGTCTGTGTGTTTCGAACATACAAGGCCTGGCATGTTATATGGCTAGTGTATTATACCTACCATCAAGTTGCTCCTTGCTTGCCTCTCTTCTATCATAGAAAAATAAAGATGAAGGGTGAAATTTCTTAATGCTTTTACCACGATTACAGAATTTGATCCCCGAGCATACGAGTCTGAACCGGTCTCTCGATTCAATTCCACTATTGAGAGTCCGACACCAGCGCCCCCCCTACGTAAGTCATATTTTCTTAACCAATTTCACACAAGATGCACGTTTTTTCATATATTTTTTTTATTTTATTTACTTATACTTGAACCCGAAGTCGGGTATACTGTAGGAGAATTTTTTATTATAATTCCCAAGTACTGGATTTTTTACTGTTCTAATTTAACAAATTTAAGTAAACATTTTTTATAATATTTAAAGTAATTTTAAAGATTAACTTTATAACTAATTAGAATTGGGAGCAGTATTACTCTTATTAGCTATATAGTTATTTAAGTGTTTATCAATTTTATTAAACAAAGTATACCGAAGCACGTAAATGCAACTATAAAGGTTATCATAATTGAATTTCCGTTACAGTCGCGCCCCCGCCAAAAGCGTCCAAACGTCAAGTTCCACAACCACAGAATCACACATCACCGATGAATGGGAACGATCTGTTCGGTTCCACGCCATTCTCGGTCCCGGCGCAGAGCCCGCCGCAGACTCAACCGTTCACAACTCCCATCAAACCGAACTATGACATAAGCGACTTCAATCTCCAAACATCGGTCTTCAACTCGAATTCGTCGTTCACGAACGGTTTGACCGGCTACGACCCGTTCGAGACGCAGAAGGCGGGGAATATTTTCGGAAACGGTTTCGGGAATAACTTCAACGGTTTCGGAAACCTCAGCGAGAAACCGGCCGTGGAATTGGACAGCAGCTTCAACGGGTTCCTAGACAAGACCATTTCGGAAATGAAGGTATGATATTTTGAAAGGGCTTAATCAGTCTATTATTGCTACGTACTAATCTAAAAATGTCCTTAACTTTCTTTAAAAGTAAACTAGTCTCTTTGCTTTCCTAATCTCTTTGTTTATCATAGATTATTATTTTACTAAATTACTACGATACTCATGTTTATTTTTTATTTATTGTAACAGCTTATGCCGTGGTAAGTTGATGGTTTTTGTTATTTTAGTTCCAATTTTTAAACTATTTTTGTATTTATATTGTGATTAAGAGGTGGTATGTTAATAATATAATTCATTTTCTTTGTCCTAGGACGGATTCTCGAGAGGGATCAGCTTTGGAAACGATGATTTTTCAATAGACAACCTCGATCCCTTAAAGAAGAACTAAAATTAAGAAGAAGTAGTAAAATATTTGTTTATCCTCGTGATAATTCATACAAATTAGTTTAATGCAAATTAATATAAGACAATATGAATTATCGAATAGTTTTAAGTTTTGTATGAATTGTAACGACGATTATGGCTTGTTACAAAACGTCACTCAAGTTTAAAATCTATATGATAATGAGAAAAAGAAAATAAATGAATGTAATAATTATATTTCTTAAAGGCTGGAATCCAGATTTAAACTTGAATGAAATTTTGAAATAGAACTCGCAATGTTGCCATGTTATTGGTTACAAATTCTCCGTGATAATAGGTAGATTTTTTTCGAAAGGTAGAAAATATATTTTTAGATCTTTAACTCTTTACGATGTTTAAACCAGTATATTGCTATTTACGTACAATAAGATTTACAGTTTGTGCCCAATGTCACCCCAAGTGCCTTTAACTGCACACCTTAACCTTCCACGAAAACTCTTCAACGAGTGTGCAGTCTTGATGAAACTATATTTAGATTATAAGAATAAATATTGATAGAACTGTTATAGGGACCAAAATTTTAAGATCGAGGATTTGAAGTTCGTCGCACCATTCTGTGATAATTCTTTGCAAATTGAGGGACTTCAAGTCGAAATTACTTGTATCTTGTCTTACAGCATACATCTTAACCTATTTCGAATTATTAAAATTGACTATAATATTCTTCTTAATGCCGCAAAATGATGTCTTTTTGACAATAATAATAATTAGAAAATAATGCGTATATATTCCTGTTATGAGGTTGAAGGCGGAATCATTGTAAATAATTTTGGTTTTATTCAAGGACTTGCAAGAACATTCCACAAATATTTCATTGTTATTATTTTAATTGATATTATGTGTATATTAGATTATAACTGTTGTATGCTGTCTCTAGTAAAATATTATTAGTATTTGTACACTAATTTTATTTTAAGGCCAAAAAATATACATGTGTATTTTCTATAATAAAATGTATGTTTGTACTTTTTTGTTATTAAAACATAACGTCACCTCTCGAGTTAAATCGAGTAAGTTCTGTTGACTAGCAAGCAAGTAAACATTCTTTCCCTCTCCGTAACCACGGTCGGTGCTAAGCATCCGAAACGTCGGGCCATAGTTAAAAATAATTTTCAAATAAGTAAATCTAATTAAAATCGCGTTTTAAGCCGATAAAGACGTGTTTTAGTTAAATGTGTACTACTCGCGTAAACTACAGACCGTATATATTTTCTATTCAATAACACTAGCCTAGTTTCTCAAGTAGGTTTTAATATATTATAACTAAGAAACTTCTATAATCTGAGCATTAAGAAATAAATTTAACCTACATTTTTATGAATAATGTCCGTAAATTAAAAATTAATTGAAAATAAAACAAATAAGAGAACTGTTTTAATAAAAATCGTTTTCAAGACCCAAAGTTCAAACTATGCGACGCCGCCATTTTTTATTACATATAATCTGTTTCCTTACTTTATTATACTGTCATTTTGACATTGACAATTGTTGTTTGAATTTTATTCCTAGCCAAAGCTGAAAGCATGCGAAACACATTGCTTCAAGTGTGCAAATATCTTATTTTTTTTAAATGTATTTAATAATTTTCTTAAGTATTTGATCGAAGTATAATTATAGTGAACTAGTAATAGTGAATTTTTGGCTATTTTCAAGAATAACCTAATAATAATATAAAATGGCTCTTTTAGACAGGTACAATTGTTTTTTTATTTCTTGTACATATTTGGTTGACGAAATTGCAAACTAAAATATCTTCCCGACATAACGGATTGTTTAGTTACATTAATTATTTTTCAGTAAAAGCGATTCAAAACCTAAAACGTTGAATAGAAAGAGGAAGTTTGATAAAATTAACAAAAAAACACATAACAGTAAGAAACCGAAATTTTCCGAAGAGAAACATGAAACAGAATCCCAAGAAACAATTGAAAATTTAGTTAAAGCGCCATTAAAATCTAAGGTAAGCAATTTGTTATTATTTTATTGTAAACCGAAGTCCTGTTTTATTCTCGTATTATCCTTAGCACAGTAATTTTCATTTTAGGAGACAGTCTCACTATCGCCAGAGCAAATAGCTGAACGGTACCCAATTCTAAATGATACAGAGCTGGTGAAAAAATTTCTTGGAGTACCCATGACTAATAATCAAAAAGGTATTCTAATAGTACACTGATTAAATACTATGTAAGCCTTTGAATGCCGTTACTTTACTTACTACAAATTTAATGGCATTCAGTCTGTTATGGTTGTGGGGCACAATTTTAGAATAAATTACCTTGTGTAGTGAGAGGAAGGCTTATATATATATTATATACCATTAACAGATTTTTATTAAATCATCCAAGTAAAATACAGACAATACTTAATGATACTGTTTTTTTAAGTGTGTACTACTTGCGTAAACTATAGACAGATGCTGTTTTTATTGCTTTTTCATTGCAATTATTATTTACATGAATAAATTGTCATTAGGTAGAGTCCGGCAAATGTTACGAGATAGCTTGAAAGGAACAAGAGACAACATATTGCCAGATGTCATTTATAGTAAAATACAATCAATTGTAAAGACAGATAAAGAATTGACTGAGGCAGAATTACGTAAGATAAGGATACTCTATAACATGCTTAAAACTGCAGCTGATATTGGAGTACCTAAAAAAAAAGTAATAAAAAAAGAGAAAGCCAAAAAGACTAAAGACACAGATAAAGTAGACTTGTCAAATGACAATACAGATAACAAAAAAGAAGAAGAAGGTGAAACAGATAAGAGTAAAGATGATGTGGACGGACAGATCACAAAAAATGTTGCAGACAAGAAAGAGCAAAAGGTTAAAGGTCCAAAAAGATATGTTGTTTTTGTTGGAAACTTACCTCCCAATATAGAAAAGGAAAAGGTTTGTACTGTCCTAAGTTCCATATTACATTTTCAGCTCTATGACTACTAAATCAGTTTCTAAATCAGCTTGAAATATTATTATATTTTTTTATTTTCAGATATTGGAACATTTTTCTAATTTAAACAACCATATTGTTGATGTGCGATTACCACCACGAGGGGAAGGCAAAAAAAGTAGCATAGCTTACGTTGAGCTTAAAGATGAATACAGCTATGAGGTAATATTCAGTTATATAATATATAATAGAAGTGTTTAGCGAAACAACATCTACATTGAAAACTTTACTATTTTTTACATGATGACACAATATAAAAATTACATCCTATTTATTTATGCACAAGAGGTGCATATATAAATAGGATGAAAGAATTTAACGCTGAAGTGTAGTACACAGTAGCCCAATTAAATAGAGCAAAAGTATGGAATGCTGGTTCAAGTCCTGTCTGTGTCATAAGTTTTTTTCTTCATCTACCTTGATAATATACTGATGCTGCTTTTTCTAACATTGTACTTTTGTCTCAGTTAGCACTGTCTAAGCATCATTCAATGATGGACAATAAGAGAATAAATGTCCTCTATACGACACAGAAGAACAGCAAAATTAGCAAGGGCGAAGCTAAGGTGAGTTTTAATATGCTGGTCCTTTATCTAGGTTTGTTTCAACCTTTTATACATTATATCTCAAGTATAATAAAGTCTCTATTTAAAATAAAACACTCCAAATTGGGCACTTTAAGTGGTTTTAAAATGGCCAATGGTATTTTTAAGTTTATTAATATTATCTTTGTAATAAACTAGCTGTGCCCTACGTCCGCGTGGAATAGTTATTTTGGCAATAATTATTATTTTTATAAATTGCTATTTACACGCTGTCGCGTTTTAGATTATTTATAGAGAAATAATTCTTTCATACATAGCTTTTCTTTCTTGAACCGTTTTCGGTGATCCTCAAGGATGGCTAAAATTTCCCCAGTATTTTTTTTACTTTTCCCATTGTTTCTTTGGTACTATTGATCGCAGAAATAACTTTGCAATTCCAGTAGTTCCTGAGATTAGACCATTCAAAACTAACTCTTTAACTTTATAATATTTATTTAATAATAATTATTATTATAGATATTTATTTAGATACATGCGTACTATTATTTATATGACGTAAATGTTTTCCAGAGTACATCAGCTAAACTCGTAGCTTTGCAGAAGTCTGGGAAGCTCATTGGGAGTATTCCTGTTAACAGAAAAAGGAGTCATAGACGCAACAAAGCGAAAAGGGCTCGCGCTAAAGCGGAGGCGGAATCATAAATCTAAGTGTAATTTTATTTTTATAAAGGTATAAAAGTTAATGTTTGTTTTTCTTGGTTATGACGAGAGACGTACAGACTACCGCCATTTGGTCTGTGTACCATACCAAAGCGAATTTAGATAATCACTAGGCTAACATTGCTCATTTGGCCGCATAGCTTATTAAAGACACGGGGTTCGATACCTACCCGGTCCATCATATTAGCAAGTCATTCTCTGATTTTTCCATAGATTGTAATGTTGGTAATGGTCTATTTGACAATACGAAACATATAGCGTCAATAATTGTTATCAATATTAAGTATAACTTTAGCATTATAGTAAAACCAGTCACATAGGTTACCAATAATAAGTCAGTTATATAAAAATCACGTTAGGCAGTAGTAGTAATATCGAAATGCTAAACTAGAAATAAAAAGTAAACAACATCAGAGTGCTTCAAAAATTATTTATTTTTATCGTATATATAATTTATATATCCATTTATAGTTAAAATCAACCGATTCACACAACATATAACTATATTCATCACGTACGCCCATTGGACGAATACACCAAAATATGTTTCGCATTTTACTGGCAGTATTAAAAAAACATATCTTGGCAAGTACTACTAGCTACAGATTATTAATAATTTATCGAGACTATTTTGTATCTGTATTCTGTGAACCACAGAGTATATTAAAAAAAGCTGCGTATTAAGTAGACGTAATTAATACTTTTAAATACTATCCAACACGTTTGTGCTGTAGGAATGACGTAAAACTAAATACAAACCATACAAATAAGTCCAATATTGAAGCGAGAGAATAAGTACTTAGTAGCTAAACAATTTGGAATCGCAAAAATAAATAATCTTATACAAAGAAATGACTCGCGCTTTCGTTAATTCTACTACAAATTAATTTCGTCGTAATACTCAAACTGTTATAACAAATGGTTAGAGAAGTGAGATTGTTATGGTAAGTAAAAAATTTGTGATTCTAAAAAACGCGGGAAATGTTGGGTCACAGATGATATAAATCAGCAGGTCATGACGAAAACGCAGCGTAAGTAAAAAAAAAACGATGCGTAGGTAGATACAATATCTATTGATAAATAAAATTCCATATTTATGTAACAGACATTCTTCAAACCGTTTTCAGCATACATTCCCTCATTCGACACTGAAGCGAAGGACGTACCGAAATAATACTGCGCTGAAACGCAGCCGTTAAACCTTCTACCTATTTCAGACTACTTCTACAACCATAGAATTCCTGTACATTTACTTGAAAATAGTACATCGACTTTTAAGTATGAGCGAATGGAATATGCCTTGAATATTTTATACACAGGAAAAACATTGCTTTTTACAATTACATATAACCCACAGATCAAAAACTAGTAGAATAAAAGAAGGTATATAAATATTTATGGTTAATTGATTCATTTTTCAATATACACCAATAAAGAAATGAAGATGAAAGTTACATAAATTAGTTTTGATAACATAATCTACAAAATCGATTTTTTTAGACCACAATAAATAGAGTAAAAATATGCAATGCATATTCCATTTAATATTTAAAAAGACTATATCACGCGTTACAGACGCAATAGGCTCTTCAATTTCTTACGATATACTCAACAACCATTCTCGCTCAATAAATATACAAGAAATAATATACCCACTCTTGAACCGTTTAGACCTGTTTTGGCGCCAACGACAGTTTATTTTTGACAATAGACACGTTTAAATAAAACACTTTAACGGTTTGAAACGCGATATATTAGTTAAACTTATTTGAAAATGATTCCAAGTGGTCACGGGGAGACGGCTGCTGCGAAGCATCCGAAAAGTCGGGCCGAAGTTAAAAATCATTTTCAAATAAGTTTAACTAATATATCGCGTAAATTATAGACAGTATTTAATTTGACACATTCAAACTTCACACTGGCCGACGAGAAATTCAAAATTCGAATTACGAATACTGCGTCGTTACTACGGCAAATAAAAAAAAATATTCGTCAAGTGACATTATTCACGTCCAATATTTAAATATAACATTATCTATGCTTAAAAATAAATCTCGTACTAATACTTTTTAAACCTTACTCTACGCTATATACACCGGCTACATTAAATACATTAACACTCGTAGTGTGCGCCATTTTGATTTTTACACAGATCTGCGTAACTTACACATTGTGTACAACGATTCACGTAATCGACGTTGAGATTCGTGGAATATGTCAATTCTGTTGAACGACTCTCTATTGGAATGTGGTAATTAGTCCATAGTTTTCTGATTAATTCTTAAATCTTATTCTCTTCAAGTATCATTTGTCTAGAGAGAGATAGCGCTATACATTCCGATTCATGTGGCTTCATTCAGATTTGCGTCCATCGCGTTTCGAAGAACTGTCTCATGCTGTGCCCAGCACGGCCTACTGGACTGTCGTCTTCGTTGAATACTTCGCAATTACTGAATATTAGACGAACGTCTGATGCGAATTCTTCTTTACACTTATATCTGGAAAGAAATTGGATTTTTTTTTAGTTAGGGACTGATTAAAAAAAAAATAGTCTTCTAATCAAAGATGTTAGACTTATGTTAATTAATTAATATATGTCTTTATAAAAAAGCTTACCAACTACATACATAATCAAACTTACAATATCTTTTTCCAATAATAATTATGACTACTTAAGTATCTAACTTAAAGGTATGCAGAACTTTAACTTAATAAAACTTTAAATAAAGATAAAACTAAACATGACGTAAAAATTAACAATCTTATTTTGACTCACCCCGACTCCTGCAGTTTCCGCCGTATAGTAGATAAGTCCATGGGGCATTTGATGACCTTCTTGTATTGTGGGAATAATTTCGTGTTGACAGGGATTAGAAACGGCCAAGCGTGTTCGTGGCACTCCATTTCACATAGAAGGTTTCTGAAATAATAAATAGATCTTTACACACAGATGATACTACGTCAACTTTCTTGAGAGCCCTTTCCGGCCGAAATTAAAACTCCAAGGAAAAATAATAACGATAGGTTATGTTTAGCGACGTTTATACACAATCTTCCAAGAAGTTTTTTTACAAATAATATAATTATAACTCACTTGCAAAACTGCAACTCCTTAGTTTGTTTCTTAGCCGTGTTCTTGTCTTTCTTCGCTCGAGATAAAAGGGGAACATTTTCTGCTTCGTGGTCTTCGTGACCTGTAAAGGAAGAGTTTGTGAAAAATGGCATATGAGGAACGATTCACGTTAATCTGTTTCACCGTGAATATGAACGGACTAATACCGTCTACGTGTGTCTCTTCGTGCGGTATGGCTCCGTTGCCTGCGACAAATTGCAAAGCTCGCCGCTTCTCAGGCGGACCCTCTTCTGGCAGAGGTAAGGGCAGTTCTGTTACTGTAAATATGTGAAAAGGTTAGCTTATGTTGCGATAAATACAAAAATGATGATATGAGATCTATCATAGAGTTTTTTTTTTATTGTAAGAAGAGATACCAAAATAAGACGTTTAAAAAGGCTATATTTCAATTAACAATGGAATTTTAATTATTTTAGGTTGCGAGATTCCATTTAGTTACGCGAGTAAACACATTTAATCGTGTAAAACGCGCAAAATATATATTTTTTAAATTAACACTAACTACGTCCGAACGTTTTGGATACTTTGCAGCAGTCGTGTAACCCCGACACCATAGCCACCGATGAACTAAGTAATATTTCGCAATTTAAACACTTAAAAGTGTTTTATTTAAACTTGGTTCATTATACTGATAATGAATATATTTTCGTTTTAATACTTAGTTCTGTTTCGCCTATCTCGATTTTATACAGCCTGATTCTTGTCTAGTTTCTTTTTAGCGAATAATACGACTTTAACAGTGACAATGAATATAAAACAAGTACAAACCGTTATGCCCGTTTTCATGTTCGACGAGCGGCTCGTCGAGCTTGTCGTGTTCCTTCTCGGGCGTGTGTAAAACGCTCGGCGCGCATTCCTCGGCAGTTGTCGATGTCGAGGCGTGAGATGGCGCTGGACTGCAATAATACATAATGCAATATATTAAACGAAACGTTGTTTTGTCTTTCGTGCAAAATAACAAACAATACAACATTAAATCCACTTCATTTTTTGGAGATAGCATATAGGAATAAAAAATGATGATTCAAAACAATTTCCTCAAAAAAACTTTTGTTAAATCTCAAGAAAAACGTTATTTTGCTATATAAATTATAAAAATATATTAACTTATTGTATTGTGTGGATCTACGATTGAAAATGCGCTAGTATTCAATCGCTATATATTCCATAAAATTCTGGCCAGTACCAAAATATACATTATAATATTATACTTGTATGTGCTCGATATATTACCTTGGAACCATGGATGTATCTAAATCCACATTCGAGGTATCTTTGTGCTTTGAATCTCGCTTGTTGCTCTTACGCGGTTTTTTGGGTGGCGCTCGAGAAATACACTGTGCGCAGTACCACTTGCCTCGCGGGTTCTAAAATTGATAAATTATAGATGTATAGTTTACAGTACTATTTATGTAGGAGGAAAGAAATCAAATTTGAAAAGAAAAAAAAAATGGTTTCATCGTTTCCTTAGTACAAGAGACTACGAGAGATTCCTGTCAGTTCTCCTCGTTTGTTTAAAGCGCCTAATTTGAGACATGCTAATTCAGTGACAGTAAATTGAATATTTCATAGATTATATGAATTCAATGTTAACTTTTTTATGACGAGTTAAGAACACAGTGTCTAATGGCATTTAGTTATGTATTATGTATATAGATCACCACACACACCAGAAAAACGTAACAATATTATCGTTAGTGTGCTCATAATATAATTCAAACTCAAACCATTTACTTCACAAGACATAAGAAACTTAAATATTAGCTTAATATCTACATTTATATATAATAAACAGGTTTGTCTGTTTCTTAACTAAGCAACGGACACGACAATAATTTAACTCGTCCGTATGTAATATTATTTGTACTTTGTTGAATTTGATACCTTTAACAACGGTGGATAGTGACAGTCTGGATGATATGCGCGTACGCACAACGCGCAGGGCACTAGGCGACCACCTGCACTCCCCATTCCGCAGACTATACACACACGTTCGCCTCTAGCCTTGTTTACGCATTCCCAACAATACCTGGATAATAAAAGTTAGACATTTAATAATCGATTTTAGATTGAAAATTGTTTACAATGACGTGTAGGACACGCTATCTCAATTGGTTAAAGCACGATACGCTTGATGCCGATTCAACTCCTGCCCGTGTCGTGTTTTTTTTTTTCAATCTAAATTTTTTGAGTTTATCAAAAATTAGACGCTTACTTATTCGTTTGCCATTTAGCTATGACACACTAATATAGTATATACATAGTAAGATAATATATTTTTTATTCGTTTGTAGTAATTTGGTTATTTTTATCTCTTTATTGTATGTCCCCGCTAGTAACTTTAGGCTTTAATTAATGTTACAATAAGGTGTAAAAGGTTAATTAAATATTTTTTGCCGAGAGGTTATTATAAACATTTTAATGAGTTAAGTCACAGTAAGAGAAAAGTATTGGTAACGTACCAGTCGCCTTCAGGTATCTTATCCATCCGCGGCTTGAAGCAGTACGTATGGTATCCTTTATCACAACCGTCACACAATAATAGTTGGTCTTCGTTATCGCCGGAAAGGCAGAATTGACAGTTCTGCAAATGTTTTTTTAACACTAATAATTTAGCGTCGGACTTGAAACAATATAAAAAAATGGTTAATAAAGATGAATAAGTGGTTAAAAAAGAAAACTTTTTCGAATGTACAAGAAACATATTTAAATAAAACGAGGGGCTTCCGTGTGTATCATTGAATTTTATCAATAAAATTATATAGCCTTGATGACCTGCCCGGAAGAAACTACTTGTTATGTTTCTGCAGGATTCGAACCTAGACCTTGCAAAATTAACGCAATGCATTAAACCAAATAAGGGCCTTGTAAAAGTATACTGTAATTAATCTAATAATTAAGATACACTGAACTGATATGAGAATGTTCAACCAACGTTAAACTACATTGAATACACACCGCTTTCATAATACTCTTGTCCCAAGCGATATGGGATTCCAAAGCATGGAGCAGCATCGCCAACTGCGCAGCTGTATTGCATCGAGCTACCGCGTCGCGCCATGTCGCCAGACCTCGCGCTATACCACGGGTTTCTAAAAACAAGGTTAAAAATTATAATAATATATAAAATTGCCCAAATTTTTTATCTACACGTTGTCTTTATACTCATATATCTATGCTATTGGTATATCTCTGCATGTATGTAAGCATACAGTGTCCGGCTTGAAGGACCTAATGGTTTTATTGGGATTTAGAGATATGTAGTAGTAAATGTGACATTTTTTAAGTATAAGACGTCTGGATTACCTTTTACGTCGTTTTGATCGGAGTTCTGAGGTGACGTGGCTGAAGCGTTGCCGTGTTCTCCCTGAAGCATGGCGCCCAAGTTTGCCTCGTTTGTACTGCAATTAAAATAACAAAATCTATTATCTGTAAAGCCTTAGCGGCTATTTTGCAAACTTAACGATCTGTTCGGCCATCGTGACAAAGAAATTAGTTTTTATTAGCGAATGATGCTAACTAGTGAAAAAGTTCTTCAAGTATGTGTTATCCATGGTAAAATAAAACTTTCAATAAAAATTACATTTAGCTCTTAATAAATTATAGTCGATTGTAAAAAAATATATGTAAACCAAATGATAGTTGTCTCCTGTTTGTGGTAGTGAACAAGAATTTAATTAAGTATTTTTTAAACTAAGCTTTTCTGGAACCGTTTACTAATAATATACCTCCAACACAAGTGCAAAATGCAATTTTGACATAAACAAACGTACTTACATCAACACGAAAATTATAATAACCTACCAATATTCGATGATGATCACCAGAATAGATTAAAAGGGGAAAGGGGTGAAATATTGGCTACAGTTCTACCTACGGGGTACATTGTTAACTAGGAACCATTTTTTTAAGCTTGGGTAACCCTATACCACCTATATACCAGTGCGTGAATACCGAAAACTTCTAATATGAGTTTGATGGTTAGAAGTAACTTAATGGCGCCTTGGCTTAAAGATTTGTGCCCAAAACAAGTTGTCTTAACTATCAAACTCATGTCAAGTCCAAGAAAAACCCAAAACCACATTCTTTTTTTAAAAATAGTGCAAATCTACCAATCCTAGAATTCATCGGTTGGTGTACCGTGTACGGAAGTATTTAATGACAAACCATACATTCCTATGTGAAAACCAAACTCAATCTTACCAAACCAACTTAAACTAAGGCGTTATTAATAAAACGATATTAGTTGCTCATTTTTTTAGTACATAATGTCTCTATAATGAAAGTATATATAGGTATTCTTTTGAACTACCCACAAGGCATTTTTTTTTTAAATATCGTTTTATTAAGCCGAGTGTGTGCCAACCCTAACTACGCACTAACAAACTTACCTGCACACAAAAACGCAAGCTTACAATCAAATTATACATTACCTAGCGTACCTTTGTACCAGAGGCGGTTTAAGGTAACGCCTTTCCACGTGTGCCTCCAATTGGGCAAGATCGTGCCTCGCCCTGGCGACTATATCTGCCCCAGTCGCGTCCGGGGGCAAGGGAGTACTGTCCGGGCGCCAACCCTTGACTTGCATTGAGCCCGCTACGACTCTTTCTTCTAACGCCTCAACCTTGGAAATTAGGAAGAGTTTATTTTAATAATAGGGTTACCTTGTGTTATATATATGTGAGCTTGACATTAATTGTCAATGTCATTCTGACTTTTGGATCTTACTATGATGGTAATTTATAAAAGGGTAGTCATCGTCATTCGTTTTTGTATTATTCTATATTACAATAATTATTGTAATTCTTTATCAGCTTTACCTAATATTTCTATATTGTTTTATTATAGTTATAAAACTACATTGCGCAACTTTGATTTCTCAAATATTTTGTTTTCAAATCAATTAGAAAATAATTAGTTAAATTTTGGTAATTATTAGGCAAAATGCACTAGACTTTATTTATTGATACAAAGCTGCAGTACAACATACCATAGACAAAACAGCCATGTCTACTCTTCTCGCAGTTTTCGCACAAAAGGAACCGGGCTCATCTGGAGGTACATAGTCTACGTCAACGTCCAGTGGGGAAACTGTAAATTGACTGCTGGATGTATCTCCTTTTTCGATGTATAGCTGAAAAGTACAATTTATTAAAACACACCGTGAAATATTCATTACAGTTAATCCGTATCAGTAACACTTTTTAGTTTTATAAATTGTCAAATAAACAAAAAGTAAACTTGTATCTGTAGTTTATGCAAATGTGTGAACGCGTAATCCCGTTTCCCTTATTTGGGGTGTGGGCACACATGTATACTATTATATAAAGCTGAAGAGTTCGTTTGTTTGAATGCGCTAATCTCAAGAACTATGGGCCCGAATTGAAAACTTCTGTATTTGTTAGATCATTTATCGAGGAAGGCTATAGGCAGGCTGAACATCGCGCTGTGACTAATAGAAGCAGCGAAGATACAGGAGGAAATTTTTAAATTTCAGACTCTGCGAAAACGGTTCAAGACACAAAAAATAAGTATGAAAGAATTATTCCTCTTTAAATGATCTAAAAAAATGACCGCGACACAATATGTCTATCTTTTAAGATTAACTTTGCAAGAACGACGGGACGCCCAAAATAATATTCTACGCGGACGAAGTCGCTGACACAGCTAGTTTTTTATGTTTCTATGATAGATTCTATTTACAGCCAAGTAGTTCAAGATTTTTGTTATAGACAAGTAGTTTAGTTGACATCTGGGCCTTGATTTACACCAGTATTATCAAAATTGAAAAATATTTATATTAAAAATAATGGGATGATTTTTCCCGATAAATTGAACCCCCCCACCCACCTTTGCCGACATTTTTTATTCTGAATAGATGTTTAATTTATGAGTTTATGAATTCTTAAAATCTGAAAAAATTTTTTGATTGTCATAACTGTTACGTTACTAGTGTGAAAACTAACCTTATTATTCATAGTAGGCAGATGTTGAACAAGGGAAGTATGTAATTCTCTCTCCCTCACACCTCTTGGGTGTAACGCTTCCAGCACTGATTTCATCTGATCCGACTCTGTAATACGCCACCAGCCGTGTCTGAAATAGAAATTATTGCATTACTGCATGCCCCGACGAGCATGTTAAACCGTCGGTCTCGATTATCAAACACTAATATAGCGGCGGTAGTCTTTACAGTCAAACTCCTACTTAAAAACTTTACTACCAGCTCCCATTAAAGATTGGTGGGCTGAGCACTTAACAATGCTACCCGAAAAGACTGTACCGTGTTATGGAAAATTATAGGTACGTATAATAAGTAGTTTACGCGAGTAGTACACATTTAAATAAAACACTAACGGTTTAAAACGCGATATATATTAGTTAAACTTATTTGAAAATTATTTCTAACTTTCGCCCGACGTTTTGTCTCCCCGTGACCACGGCAATTTGTATTTGATAATTTTCAAGTAAGTTTAACTAATATATATCGCGTGTTAAACCGTTAAAGTGTTTTATTTGTGTCAATGTCATATTTAAGAAATATTTGACATAAAATTATATGTGTTAGAGAACTCACCGTAAATTCTTTGGCACATAGGTCCCGTCGATCTTTTTAGGTAGACCATGGCTTTTGCAGTGTTCGAGTTGGTCTACCTCATCAGGTGACATTTGAATGGGTGGTGGGGAGTCGCACGTCACGTACGTCGACAACGCGTTGAAGTTTAACAAGCCCAAGCTGTTAAGGCCGGAGGCTTTCGCCTTTTGAGCGGCTAAGTCGGCTTTTGTTAAGTCAGCTTGAAGTTCTTTTTCTAAGTCGTTTTCCTGAAACAATATAAAAGGCATTTATAAGCAGTGGTGTAGTTAGGTAAACAAGCACCCCCCCCCCCACTTGTTTTACGCTTATCACTTTACTAAGATGAGATTAGAGGGCCCTGGTGAAATGCACCACCTGGACTTATTATAACTAGGTCTCTGTTTATATGTCTAAAAGTTTTCAGAACAGAAGTATTTGTGGGGATATTTATCTGAATGAAATCTAACTTTACTTCCGGTTGTCTTTATTACTGTGTAGTTTTAAACTGGAGCACTGACAATTTAACATAAATGTATGTTTAGTTTATTACGAGGCGGAGCCCCAAATAAGTACCTTGGTGAGTTATTCAATAAAACTTACCTGCTCTTTACTTTCATCCATTTCCAACTCAGTATTATTCATACTGGCGTCCATCATATCTTGGTCTAACCCCGACATAGTCAGACTGGAATCCGCATACACACTATTGCACGGCACTTGCACACTCGTCACCATACTGTTTAATGTAAACAGACTCGGGTCGTTTAATAAGTGCAAATTATTAGACACATCCCACCTATGACCCTGGCATTGTATCACTTCGCTGCAGGTATGCTCGTTATCACAGTACTTCGGTATATCGAACTTCTCCTCATTAATGTTAGTTAGAAAAGCGCTTTCATGGCGAAGAATGGAAAACCATTTTCCATCTAACATTTTGGCGTATAGATGCGCATGCGCAGAATCTGCTTCCACGTCTTCCTTTTCCTGTTTTTCTTCTTTCACTTCGCTTTCTGCTTTTTCTTTTTCTAATTGCGATGAAACAGCCTCAGCCATCTTGCGTAGTTCCTCTAGATTGTTGACTAGCGTATCTTTGGATTCTTCGGGTTCTTTGTCTATGGTTTCCGTTTTCGCGGGATTTTCCAGTTTCACGATCTCTTGTGGTTTGTCTACAGGTTCGGCTTGGGTTGCGAAGAGGGGTTTATGCGAGGGTTTTTGGACTAGAAACGCAGTTGGAATGGAGTCTTCGATATCTAGCATATCTTCTTCTTCGTGACTCTTTTGTTGAATGTATTTCTCTTCCATTTTTATACCTATAAAATGCATATATTTTTATACCTATAAACTATAGACAGTATTTAAATAAAACACTTTAACGGTTTAAAACGCGATATATTAGTTAAACTTATTTGAAAATGATTTTTAACTTCGGCCCGACGTTTCGGATGCTTTGCAGCAGCCGTGGTCACGGGGAGACCTAAGGGGAGAAATAAGTTTAACTAATATATCGCGTTTTAAACCGTTAAAGTGTTTTATTTAAATGTGTACTACTCGCGTAAACTATAGACAGTATTTTATAGACAGTATTTCAATATATTGAAACATATTTCAATATCTATAATAAATACATTACTTATATAGCTAATTTAAATGCATATTCCTGTAATAAACTCTTTACCTCAACTTAATACTTGCATTGCAGAGATATAGATATATATTTTTCAATTATTTCTTAATATATTCAATTTCTTTAAACTGAACTGTGCTATTAAATTTTGGACTTAAGTGGGGAAAGTTACCTTCAACTTTGCAAACGATCTTGTTTGGTTCATATTTGATAATCTGTGTTTTATCACTGAGGTTGAGTTCGCTCTTGATACTTCTTAGCTCTTGCTCCGCTTGCGCTTCCGACACCTCTTCTGTTTCTTCGGAATCTGCTTCCGTTTTTAATTCTGTAAATATATTAAAAATAATATACTGCAAATTGGCGCTAAGATTATTTAGTAGAAAAATAAACTAATTTATTATTAATCTTTCTTATACCTACACAAGAAATCTATAAGTCATTTCTTCCCTACTCTACCATCCAGTCTATCTTAGAAAATTATTTAGGATTCTTTGACGTTTGTTCCAATTTTTAATTTTAAACACATATACAGAACACATTAAATTAGTTCTAAAAAAGCAAATTCAGGAAAAAATTTACCTTTGTCTTCAACTTTTACACCATTCGTCTTTGTTTCCTCCAATTTCGAATGATACGCAACTATCTCAGGCTGAGCTGACTCCATAGCTTCAACGAAAACTCCACCGGACTTCCCTAGAGACCAATAACGACGCCAATATCTGCAAATACAAAAGAATTATTACAAAAGCCACTACAGTTGACAGGTCCAAGTGCCAGGTCCCTCATAATTTACTATTTAAATATTTATACTGTAACACTTATCGCGTTTCCCCGTGGGAGCAGCAGATTGACACCTGGGCACAGAATCCTAATCAATTACTTACCTATAAATAATAGCGGTCAGTGAAACGGACTCGGAAACGTGTTCGCCCCATGCCCATGCCATGGGCAAAACGAGATTTTGATTACTTGTACCAATATTAAATAATACAAACACATACCTGTCTTGTCCATAGCACGTAGCCCTCAATGCGTTAGACGCAGCAGCCAGCTGCAACACTTGCTGTTCCGACTGTCGTAATAATTTCTCTAATTTTTTTGATAACTCCTCTGATGATAGGTTTTTGTCTTCGTCCTGTGATACAATATTTTACATATAGAGTAACAAATGCAATATATATATATATATATATATATATATATATATATATATATATAGAAGTAAATTCAAATAATTTACTCGACACACATACAAATAAAAATAGTAGATGGTCTAACTTAAAAAGTAATTAAAGTTTTGTGAAGTATTGTCTGTATTTTATGCACATTTAACAAAAGACTATTAACTTTTAAAATATGTATACAAAATATAATTTTTACTACGACTAGACGTTTTGGATGCATGACTATTCTTATTTGAAGTATAATTTTTTGTGGTTTCATAAAGTTAATCTCACTGTTAAGCACACCACACGTAAATCAAATAAACACCAAAAACAATGTTGCATTGCTGGCATCGTAGTTTTTGTACTAATTTCAATACTTAATAGTTTTTTTATAAAATGTATTAAATTAGTACAAACTAATAAAAGAAAAACTGCTAGGAAAGGGTTTTAATGACGTTAATCAAGGCGTGGAGGAACTCGCTCTAACAAGAAAACATTTAGTGAACTCAAAGTATATGATGACTGTGAAATAAAACTTAACGAAAAAAGGAGTGGCGGCGAGTTATTTGCCAGTTCTTCTCGTTAGTTCTACGCTTTTGATGTGAGAGGTAAAATATAAATTATGACTAAATGTAAATTTAGTCTTTATTTTTTAACAGGTGTGACGTTCGTAAGTGTACGTAGTAACCTACGTAAGTGAATGATTTTATACTTTGTGTGTGTAATTTTATAAAACTCACTTCTTCTGGCTGTGTCCCTTCACTCTCCAAGTCACTCAAAACGTCATCACCCATTACACTATCTTTATCTTTTCCTTCCACAGGAATTTCGTCTTTATTGTTGTTCAATATCTCTTTCTTGCTCATCTCTTTTAAGGGTGATAGTTCCTTGTCACTAGGCTCCTCTTCTTTGTATGGGGACGGAGTTCCTGGCTTGTCTTCCGGTGGAAGAGATGACTCTTTCTTCGGTGTTTCAGACTTCTCTGGTGTTTCTGGAAATACAACGTACGCTAAAATTAATGTTAATGACAAGGAGGATGTCTGGGAGTGATATGAATTGCTCCTTAGGTTAATGAATTCACAAAAATGTATAAGTTTATAAAACATGTTTAAAAGAGCCGAACTGAGTTTTATGGGTGTTCTTCTCGGTTATGTTTATCTTTGGAACACTCTGTAGAACCACAACAGACAGACAAACATTTCTTGACGAATCTAAATTTTTGAAACTTTAAACAGAATCAAGTATGTTTTTAAAGACAATATTACTGTCTCTTTGTAATAAACTTACCACGCGCAGGCGATCGCATATGGCCCGTGCTTTCTTCCACCAGCCTCTGCATTCGTTCCAAGGCTAAGGCTTGTTGTTTTTCGGTCTGTTCTGCGCGTAACTTGCGTTGGTATAGCGAGCGGACTCTGATGACAATTATTAAAATTAAATTTCAATTTAAAATATGAATATTTAAATAAAACACTAACGGTTTAAAACGCGAAATATATAAGTTAAAGTTATTAGAAAATTATTTCAACTATATCTACCCATGACCACAGCTGCTGCAAGCATCCGAAACGTTAGGCCGTAGTTAAAACAATTTTTAAATAAGTTTAACTATTATATTTCGCGTTTTAAACCGTTAAAGTATTTACTAACTAACTAAGCGTAATGCTCGCGTAAACTATAGAGAGTTAAAAAAACCAAATGATAGAAAGGGTTACGATAATTGTTATGTTAAACAGAAGTCGGCAAACAAGCCATAATTCATAATTTTACGCAGGAAGTAGCTATCAAATACTAATTCTTTTTTTACCAATAATATTGTATTATTAGCTAAATACGTATATCCTTGTCTCGCTCTATTCCGCAATGTGTGAAAGAGATAGAACTATACTCACTTTCGAATCTTGGCATCCATAAGATACCGTTCCTTACGCAGCTGATTGAGGTGGTCCAGAGACGCGTCAACTGCGCGTAAAACTGCCTTGCTTTGGAGTAATTCATCGCACAAGTACGCCAACATTCTCGCTTTACTGCTTGGGTTGAGAGAGACGAATGGTTTGTCACGAAGCATTTCTAAAACAAAATTAAGACATTGGTATCAAAATCAATAAGAAAATCCTGTTATGAACTAAAACAAGTGGAATTTTTTTATATTATTTTTGCCACATTATACGTGTCCTGTAATAGTAAGAGACCACAAAATCGTCGCATGCGCAGTTTTGTTTTTTATTCAAAAATGTCTTTCTCGTTTCATACTATTCTTTATTCTAGTTTGAGTGTGTAAAATCCCATTTCGCCTCGTGGGTCATGGGGCGTACACAATTCTGTGTCCATTTCACTGATAGGTTTTTATTTACAGGCAAGTCTCAGATAAGATCCGACTTCTGTGCCCTGGCCAACCGAAACAATATAATTTTTGATGTTTCCTTGGGATTCAAACCCAGGACCTCTCGCGCTTAACGCATTTAGCTACACAGGCGGACAGTCTTCATATACAGCTTTTACATATTTTGACGACAAATTGAACCTTACCAGATAGTTTATAAGTACTATTATTGTGTAAGTGCTCGTAGTATGCGGCGTTTTTGGTACTCGCACATGTTTGTTGCATTTCAGCGTCGCTCTGATGGTGGTCAGCGATTCGACGTTCGCGTTCTCGCTCTACCGTCAAACCTACAATATACAGTTAATAATTAGATAATACGCTATTTTTTTCTTATATAACAGAACTACAATAAAAATAACAATATGTAATAAGCATTCCAACTTAAGTGACTATAAAAGCATGTAATTTAATGTCAAAAGAGGCCAGACGTTGGGGTTTATAACAACTAACCAATATGCCTTGTCGATCTATCTATTTGGCTGGATATTTGGAAATACTAAAACCGAAAGGGGATAAAATTTCACGGCTTTTTAATCGGTTGTGAATACAAAAGGTAATAGAAATTATTATAATATACAATCATAAGTTTCTATGTGAAGGGTAGGGCATGGGGCAAACACATTAGTATGTAGTTTTTCAGACTGTTGTGCCCTGCCCGACAGAAACAATCTATTGTTTTCCCTGAATTCCAACTCAGGACCGCGTTTGACGCAACGTGCTCAGCACACGTTGATTCCGCTACAGAGGTGTTATGGTCTATATTGCTTATCTACAAATAGTACAAACCTGTCATAGCCTTAACTTCTCCAGTGGCGTTCGCATAAAGGTATATCCGCAGTACTTCGCTCAGGTTGTCTGGCCGGATATCGCCCAAACGTATCGCCTGCCCGAGCAACGTCGTGTGACGACCCGGGTGAGGTATACCTGGATCCTCTGTAAACACAATATTTATTTCTCATTGTAACAATAAGTACTCAAATTAAAGCTTTGTTATTTAATAAACAATTATTTACAATTTTTATTACGGTTTGAATTGATCGTTCAAATTACTGTAAAATATTTGATCATTTCTGTAGTAAACATAAATATTTGAAACCTTGTATATGATGCATAAAAATTAAAAATCTATGTAGATTAAAAAAGAAGACACGGGCGCTTCTTGAACTGGCATCCACAGCATTCCATGGTGCTGCTCAAACCATGGGTGACATGGTAGCTAAATTTGTTAGAGCAAGAGCTCGGAACGTTTTGGATGGCGGTTGAAGTCCCAACCGTGACGTCACTTTTTTCTTTATCTAAATAGAATTTTAATTTACATTAATAAATAAAAATATATCTTACCAATAGCGAGAACTAGAAGCCTGGTGAGCACAGATATGAGCGCATTTTCCGCTTCTTCATTGGAGTCTAAGAGACCTTGTTGTAATGAATCCAGGGTTGGTATTGATTCTGCAGCTGTAAATTATAAGCAAATTTAAACTTAAAAAGTGATGGCATTATGTAAGTTAATAAGCGACTTTAAATTGATTTTCTTTTTTACGAGCAACAGCAACAGCATGGAATGCTGTAGATGCCGGATCAAGTCCTGCCCGTGTCGTAAAATGTTTTCAATCTAAAATCGTTTTTTAATTTTATGTATATAAAATTGTTATCTATACTAATATATAAAGCTGTTGAGTTTGTTTGTTTGTTTGAACGCGCTAATCTCAGGAACTACGGGTTGGAATTGAATACATCTTTGTATTGGTCAGAGCATTTATCGAGGAAGGCTATATGCTATCCCTCGTCCTGTGACTAATAGGAGCGAAGATACAGCAAGAAATGTGTGACGCTATATGTCTATCATTTAAGATTAACTTGCAAGAACGACGGAAAGGGACGCGCGACCGACTTCGTGGGTAACAGCTTAAGTTTTTAAAGATTTAAAATAAATGTATAAAGTAAAATTTAGGATTATAAAGCTTTGCAAACCGAATTCGGATGCCTAAAATAATATTCTTAGCGGGCGAGATCGCTGCAACAGCTAGTTATTATAAAAAAGTTAAGTAACAACGAACTGCAATATTACAAACCTTTTTATATCATCGCTTTATTCAAATAAAAATATAATCACATTTTAAGGTAATTTAATGTTTTATGTGGAAATAAATGTGACATGGAAGAGCTGGTAACCTGGGCTGAGGTAGAAAAATCTAGTTAACTGAATAAATACTTTTTTAAGGTCATTAGGACTATTACAATATTTTTATTTGTAACGTTCAACTTTAACCAGCTTTATTTGTAGAGAGGAAGGAATAAAATTTTTACATTTTCTTACCGATACCAAGAGCTTGTCCAAAGTTATGTAGGAACTCGTACACTTGGAGTAGATCAGCGAACGCCTGTCCTGAGATCTTTAGACCTGGTATTCTATCCAGGTCGGGAAGAGGCTTTTGATCTGAGAGAGAAGAGTCCTCTTGAGGCCTCCTAAAAAGAAAATAGAAGTATTAATATTTACAGTCCTGAATACGGGAAAGCTGCTCTATTTATCCGACACGTTTCCCTCTTTTTATTTAAAAGTCCTAGAAAACTAAACTTTAATGTAGAGACATAATTTTAATAACATATTACAAAAAATCTCAAGAATTAAGCTTATAAATATGCGGACACGACGTGATATAAATGTAACAAAAAGAATAAAAAAAATGAAATGTTTAGAAAAATCTCACCTCAACTCAGATAATAGCTCCATCTCTTTCCTTCTCTGCTGCAACTTCTTCTCTTTGACGAGCAACCGATCTAGAAGGTTCTGATGTTTTCTTCTCTCTCTTTCTTCCCATCTTCTTCGGGAGTCTAATTGCCGAATGAATGTTGTGTGCTGACGTCTCCGTTCTCGTTCCTATAATGATTTATTTTTATTTAATACACGTTGCATAAAATTTTGTAAAAAATCTTTTCATTTTAAGCTTATTACCCTACGTAGCATAGGAGACTCGACTCTTAAGATAGTAGAAAAATGCTTGAACAGCTAATAAAGCAAGCAAAACTGTATATTGTTGGTTTTTCTTTTTTTTTTTTTGCAGAAAGAAAAGCTCTTTTTTTGTCAGCATAAGAAAACACACAAATGGCTTTTAGATAAGCATTAACTTCGCGTTTAAAAGCTTTTCCTACCAAAACCAGAGAAGGGTAAAAAACAGCATATCTACACAAACAACACAAATCCCTTACCTAATCGTGTTAATTTAGAGGTATAATTTGGCTAATATAATTACCTCAGTTATAAACTTTTGCTGCACCGAGCCATACGTGAACGCCAATTGGAAAAAGACATCATAATTATTTACAAGCTTCACACATTGGTGGGTACAGTCGATATTTTATTATGCGAGACACGAGTCTTAAAATCATGAAACGAATTTGATTTAATTAGTTTTTAAAGGATTTTAAATATTACATTCATATATTTGTCTTTAATAAAACATTGACTGCTCCACGTACAAACAAACGATACACAACACGCACACACTAAGAACAGTGTATAGACAACTCAAACACAAAACAACAACAAACTCCTCTTACCTGTTCTTTGAGCAGCATCGCCTGTTGTCTCTTTATCTCTCTCTCCTATAACAACAGAACAAAATGGGTTAAAACCACAGATAAAAAAATGATATGATTACCAAATAGCTTCTTTTTTTATAACCTAGTCACAAGTTCAAAACCTTTTTTTTGTAAATCATAAGTGTCAGAGGTCACAAACCTGTTGCTTCTTAGCTTGCTCTTCGAACCTTTGTTTTTCAGCGTCCTCCTGTTTTCGCTTCTTAGCCTTTACGTTACACCAAAAGCGAGCAAATTATAACAACGCGAACATGAAACAATAAAAAATAAAAATCATATTAAAATAAGCAAAGCCAAAAAGTTTTTTTATGATATATGAACGTACTTGGGGTAACAATTATATTCTTAGACTATTTAATGAAAAAATATATGTATTCAACATACATACATAACAATTACAACGGTTGAAATGCGAAAGATATTAGTTATAACTAGATGGTTTTCAATTGGTGTTTTGTGATGAATATGTACCACTCGCGCGCAGACATAAAATACGTAAACAATAATAATAGAAAAAACTTTTTGTATGCTTTTTACGTACACTTCTTTTTGATTCCATGGTACTTTGGTTTCAGAAGTCTCTTAAAAAAAGGGGGTTTACTGATACTATTGTTAAAGTAATGAATTGTGATTGGATGATAATGATTAAGCAATAAAATTAGTGCTAATCACCTACTTAGCTAAGATACAGATTGTTAGACAGTGCAATTAAGAAAGCGTGCGACATAGAATTGTTAATATCCAATTCCGTTTTACCCATATGACCTATAAACGAAGGCGCCATAGAGAAACCACACCATAGACAAGATTGTTAGTGTAACGGTTAGTTTATTTCAATTCGACGTACCGGACTGATTACGTCCTTCGCGAACGGCTGAGCCGAAACCGATAGGGCTCCTTCCTTGTTAACATTGTATGGGCCTTTGTTTTTTTTATTTACATCCGATTTATCTTCGCTCAAATCGATAACTACTTTTTTGTCTTTCGGCATTAGCATGAGGTTCTGTGACATAAACTCGTTCTTCGCGTCCAAGTACTTTTGTTCTATGCTCTTTGGATCGGCTTGTTTGTCTACGCTTTTCCAGTCGCAGCCGTTTATGAACTCGGATATGCGCGAGTACGAGTCGATCAGTTTTTCTAGATTGTTCTCGCCCTCGGGGGGCAATTCTTTCTTCCGCTTGTCCGCCGATACAAGTGACATGTCGAAGTATTTGTCGTTAGGCCGCTTGGGCAGATCGAACGCGGCTTTCTCAGCGAAGTCCTTCATTTTGTCCAGCGCGTTGTATTCCTCGGATTCCTCCTTCCACATCCCCTGTTCGTAATTCAAAGTTTTGATCGGCGAGTCTTTGCCGCTAACCGGGATGAGGGAGAGGCTTATCTGTGGCATAGTTCTATCTCTTTTCGCCGGCGCTATTGTCTCTGGCACCTTCCATTCGTCTTTCATAGGTAGCGCCTCGATCGTCAATTGCGTTCTATTTTTGTTGATATGCTGTTTCGGTATTTCGAATGTGTTAATAAATATTCTCTCCTCTATTATCAATTGGACTTTTGACAACATTGTCAATTTTAGGTGTTAGATAGACAGGACCCGTGGTACGATAAAACAAGTGTTTGGTGCGATTGGCGTTTGTTAACTAACGATGCGACTGAACCTAAAAGTTATCAAATTGTATTACAATCCAGTCCCCACTAAGTGATCTCCTACAAGAATTGAAAAATTGATTTCAAAGTTCGTTAAAAATACTTGATTTGGAACACATACTAATGACAGTCAGTAGAATCTTGTTTTATCAAACCACGGATAAAACAGCCCAATAGAGATAACATACATACATAATTACATATGTATACTACATACACACATACTAAGCTAGACCAAGGACCGAACTACGGAGGAACAGTACAAAAATCAAACGTCCTCTACGGATGTGAGCACAATGTTGCCAAGCATCGAATTGATAATAAAATCAAACACAAGCACAAATTTAAAACATATTTCGCTATAGAATCTACGTACTTCGAATGATATAGCACTCGTAAATAATTCTACACATTCAACCAGCCCTAACTATGACTTTATTGCAGCTCAAGGTAGAGTTGAGATTTTTTTTCTAGTTAAAACAAGAAACTAAACTAGCATAGCACAAACACTACAATAATTTCATCAGTTGTATTCTTTTAAGGGGTAGGCAGTCGGTAGACCGTGACGCGAGCTTATGGGAACTGACATTGCGTTTATATTGAAATAACTATCTAGAAGCTGTTCGTTCATTAGTACGTAATCACACGTACAAACAATAAAAGTATTTATTATTTAAATATAATTTTATAAATGCATATTGTTAGGCCATTACGAGAACTATATCATAGAAATTTATAAGGACAAAGACAATTATATACCAAAGACAACACAACCCGAGAGAATTAATTTACCTCTAGTAGTTGTTGACTCCTTACTTCCTTTTCGCGTTTCACTAACTCTGCTTTCTCAGACCGTTCCAATTCACGCACGAGACGAGCCTAAAAATTAAAGGTTGTTTCATTTAATTGTACTATAAACATTTAATGATACAACAATATTTTTACAAGCAATTTTTTATAGTGGATGATAATATAAAAAAATGCGTGTACCACAGATGTACTAAAATATAAATTCGATTTTTAATTAGGTTTCTTAAGAAGAGACAAGTGGAACAATGGTGCGGCGATGAGAGCACCATGGGCAAAAACAACTCAAAACCGCGAAGCAAGACTTTAGAGAAGGCAGGCAAGGTCATTTCGTTTCATTGGCATTACGATAGAAGTCCACATAAAGAGTAACTTCAACAAATCCCCTACCACGGAGGATGTCTGCTTATCTAAATCTCATTGTGTCCCTACAAGCCTTCCTGTGACTTTACAATATTTTATTACCTTAAAATCTTTGACGTTAGCTCGTGCTTTATCAGTTCCCTATCACTAGTTCTCTTTGTTTTGAATTCGGCCATAATTGTTATGTCTTTTGCCAAGTTAGAAAAAATATACTTTATTGTATAAAGGGTATTTTAAAATAACTTGGTTATTACTAACTACCTGGTCTCTGTGCCTATGCGTAGCGTCTCTCCTGGCATCTCTCGCCGCTTGTTGTCTTCGTGCTAATTCAATACGTCTTTCGACTGGAGGTGGGGTGGACCGCGGTCCAGCTAACGCGGCTAGGGCGCGGGCTTCTTCGAGCCTGGAAAAATCAATCGGCCATCAGGTAAGTATTTAGGAATGGTGGTCAAGTTTGGCCTAAATACTATGATGTCATTGGTTGAGATGGGTCTTTTCTATGACGAAGACGAAATGATGTTTATAGCACCGGTTGGTATATTATCTCTAGTCAAATAATATAACTAACTGTAAAATGTCTGTAAGTTCGTTTTGGAAGTAGATCTTGGCATAAAATAGTCGGAAAATCAGCGTCTTCAAATAAAACATTCTATTTGTAGTGGCCTATTAGGGAACTTTCGCGTACGACTCAAATAGTAAGCGGCGCTTCGGTTCTGGATTCGATGCTAAATATATCAAAGATATAACTTACCTCTTAGATATGTCAGTCTCAGTGAAAATTATGGGTTCGGTATCTGCAGCTGGCTGGATATATTCACCCAACACCGTCCTTGAACTAAAACTGAAGTTGTCCAGTGATAAAGCGGGACAGGGGTTTGACTCCAGGAACTAAAAAATAAAAGCGCCATTCTAAGAATTGTGAGTGTGTATATACGATGGTATGAACTATAATGAACGAATACAATAACCCATTGCATTGCAAGATTACATTTTTTAATCCTACATTAAAATTTTGTAGCATATTATAATTGGTTACTAATATTACATACAAATATTTAAATAAAACACTTACGGTTTAAACCGCGAAATATATTAGTTAAACCTGTTATATATTTCAAGTTGTAAACCGTTAATGATTTAAATATGTACAGTAGTACAGTAGTAATAGTATGTAGTAGTTTAAAAATCTACGCCAGTACGCGGAAACTGTAGCCAGAATACCCCTTATAGTATTCGATAGTCAAAAATTTGTTGGCAAGACATGGGTTACTTTCCCCTGCCCTAAGGCATATGAGTTTTACAAACCTATGTACTATAATAGTGAAAATGTCTGTTATACTTTAAAATTGCCGTTACTGTAAGTTTTATTAATGATAGAGACATAAGGGGTCCACTTAATGGTAGGTTGAATACCCCAGCCATTTAACATCGAAACAAGATGGTAACTAATAAATTGTGTTAGGCTTTCACGGCCATCGTTCAGCATTGTCTTTCGGGCTGTTCGGCCGACGTGAGCATTCCTCGATACCTCGAGTTAACATCACCTGATGATGCCGTCCACACGTCGAGAACCTCTTCTTGCTCACGTCATGATAATGACACGAAAGACAATGATATGCTAAGATGCTAAAACTATTTCGACTTTGGATATTCAGAGTCATATAGAAAAGATATAGATACATACACTCTGTAATTCCGACGAAGACTTGATGTGAAGCGCTGAATGTGGCTCGGGAGGGGAATAGCTGACGTCTCCCTTAATATTGCAGTTGCGAGACAGGCCCTTTATAACTGTTACACGTTTCCAACCTAAATGATAAATTATTCTATTAATTTAACATTTGACAATTCGATGACAGGGGAGGGGATTGATTCCACAACCACATCGTTAAAAGCTATTATTTGTTTTTATATTTTATAGTTTGTATTATTTAGATTATTAAACACTGTGTCTCTATAGTAATATTATAAAGCTGAAGAGTTATTTGTTTGTTGAAATGCGCTTATCTCAGGAACTACTGGTTAGAATTGAAAAGTTCTTTTTTTGGTTGGCATTTATCAAGGAAGGCTTTAAACATGAAGAGCTGCAACCGATAGAAGCAAAGAAAGAATGTGAAAAAAAACGAGGAAAATTATTCATATTTCACATACGTATGAAAGAATGATCAAAAAAAGTGTCCCCGTCAGTATATCTTTTAACATTAACTTGCAAGAACGACGGGACGCGAACAATGTCGTGGGTAAGAATTTACCTAGAATTTATAAAGATGAGGTTTCTACTAATTTTGATGCCCAAAATAAAGATTTTTTAACAATATCATCCATACCAAGAGCCAATGGAAGTCGCAGTAACGCGTCTAACTTCCTCCCCGAATCGCTGGCATCAGAGTCGGAAGGGTTGCTGTCGGACTGTTGACATTCGCTGTCCGTACTCGCGCCTTCACCGACCAGTGCTCGAAGCTTTTCCTAAAGAAATCAATATATAAAAGTCTTTTGTAATTAAAGACCTTAGCAGTATCTGATTCGGGTTTATTTTCGTTGTTTGCATTATATTACATAATATTTGTACTTTTCTCCTTTAAATAAATAAAAGCACCGACGAGTACAGTTTTCTCTCTTTCAAAGTTTATTACTTTGCTTGTCCAAAGTGGTTAACGAAATGGGACAAATTGCTTACCAGATCAGTCTCTCCCAGTAATTGCTGCGCAAGCGCCGGTCGGAGTCCCAGCGCACGGCTCTGCGCGAGAAGCGACGCAACAGTGTTCTTTTTGGGTTTGCTCACTCCTCGACCGAGGTTACGTGGACGTCCTTCTCGTGTGGGCCAAGGTGGCACAGCTGTGAACAATTTCTCATCGTAACTGTATCTATACTAACATTAAAAAGGTAAAGAGTTTGTTTGTTTGAAAATCAGGAACTGGTTTGATAAATTTATATTGAATAGACCATTTGTTGAGGGAGGCTTTAGGCTACATAATATCACGCTGCGACTAATAGAAGCGAAGAAATGGAGGGTAACGTGAAAAAAGCGGGAAAAATAATACATGTTTGACGGTTTCCGTTACATGCGCTGCGAAAACGGTTCCTCTTTGAATGATCTATAAAAGATCTTTTAAGATTTACTCGCAAGAACAACAAAGTCGCTATAATTTCTAAAGCCGAGGAGGTTGTGTACTAAAATTAATTTTGATGCCTTAAGTAACTATACCACGCAGATGAAGTCGGGGACACAGCTAGTATATTAGGCCAATAGATACATAAGACAATTTAAGAACTTGTAGTTATTTCAAATCACGTTACAAAATATCTATATTTTAATACTTCTTTCTTTAATACAAATAGACATGTGAATGAAAGAGACAAAACTATTTCGGCTATTTTCAATACTATACTCACATTCACTGTCCTCACTGCCGCTAGAACGCGGCCGTGGACACTCCACGTTGGGTTCGGGGGCGACACGTCTAGGCTTCGCACCCGGTTTACGTCGGGCTATAGGACAAGAAAATATTTTACTAATACATACATTATATTATACAATAGAATAAACAGACAGATGTTGGAATAAACAGTTAAATATATTTGAATTCCAGATTTAGAAGATAGCAACCAGACTTTAAGAATAGCTAATGAACGAAGCTTTCACAAATATACAGACATTGAATTAGTAATATCAATACTATGTTTTATTAAAAAAAAAGAAACAAACTTTAGTACCAAAATGTAAAATATTCGTTGATTATTTGTTTATTTTAAAACTATATAAAATAGGGTCCATTAGTTGAATCAATATTTTTGTATTTTATTTAAATTTCTAGATCTAAAAGCGAAACCTTTTGATTTGCTTTCTGACATATAATTTGTCGACTATCATATTGTTCAAGGTGTAAGTGAATGAATAATTTAATATAAAAAGTCAATATATTAAAATCATTTACTTACATATTCTCTCGTTGGACGCACTGAGCGAGCTGCTTAGAGAAGTCAGTCTTGATAGAGCGTCTGACGCTTGGGAGTTCGCTGAAACGAAAGACAGAACTTAAGAATACCCCCACCGCTCTATAGCTTACGTATTTGTTTAAATAAGTAGTAGAACTAAACTTAAGTTATAAATAGCAATAATTGTTAACAAAGTTTGAAAAATAAAACGGTAAAAGTTTAAAACGCTAAATATATAATTGAATGGATTTTCTTGATTAATTAATCTATTGTCTTAACTATGGTATATAGTTCAATCTCCTATAGTTTTTATTTACTTTTTGAAATCTTGAATTTTATGAACAGTAACAATACATAATTTGGACAGCTTTCACAGAATGCTCGACCAAATGTCGTGAACGATCAGCGATCCGTGAGTGAACGATCTGTGATCTTATGAGTGAATTGTCAGTAATAGAGACGATATTGTGTTATAAGCTGTGGTTTGATACTCTTGATAATAATTTAGTTAGTATTATCTTAGGATGCACGTAACAATATAAATTAATATGATTAATATGATTTTGATGATAAAAGATATGACTTACGTGGTGTAGGCTTTAAAGATAAATTAAGAGGCGCATCATCTTCTGCAGACTTGGCACCAAGGTCCATTGGAGCCTCTTCAGAACTCGTATTGGACTTCGTACTTAAGTTTAGGCCTGAGTCGGTTGGGTTGGCACCAGCTAGCTGCCGCTCTAGAGCTGCTAAGCTCACACCGCTTTGACTGGCTATTGTCTGGAGTAACTCCCGGGATATACCTAGAAGTTTATGTTAAAATATTGAGCTATAGCGTCGGACACGGTAGCTCAATTGGTTAGAGCAACAGCGCCGAACGCTGTGGATGCTGGTTCATGTCCCGTCTTTGACAGCAATTTTTTTTAAATATAAATAGATTTTTAATTTATATAGTGCCATCATGTAAAAATTTTCAAGTAAATGTTATTTAAAAATGTAAAATACATTTATTCAACAAAGAACCTAATTTCTGTCTTACCAGCATAATCCGATAGATTTGGTGGTGGTGTTGCAGATAGGGAATTTGAGGATCGGTCAGGTTTATTTGGCAGACGGATGACTTCCACTGAAGACCTGGAGTTGCCATATTCGTCCTAAACAAAGTATTAGTATAAGTACAAGTCTGTCCGCAGTTTACTCCACTACACATTTAAATAAAACCCTTTAAAGGTTTAAAACGCGATATATATTAGTTGCAGCAGCCGAAACCGGCCCTTATTATAACTAAGGAGTTATAATAATCCAAATAAGTTGGACTAATATATATCGTGTTTTAAACCGTTAAAGTTAAAAAAAAGTCTACATCTGTTGCCCTTTAGGGCTTTTTTAATGTATATTACAAAGCTGATGAAATCTTCTTGGCTGAAGGTAGGTACACTACTTACAACTTTCTGTCTCTTGTTTGGCAGCGGGGTACTTCTATCACTGGATGGATGTAACGAGACGTGGGGCGGATCAAGGGATATTGTCTTCTTCCTACCACGATTAGTTGAGCCGGCAGGAACCTGCAAGGAAAAAAAAATAAGTCTTCTTAGTAATCTTCTATTGTTGATTAGTACACATTTAAATAAAACACTTCAACGGTTTAAAACGACCACGACGGACCACGGCTGCTGCAAAGCATCCGAAACGTCGGGCCGAAGTTAAAAATCATCTTCAAATAAGTTTAACTAATATATCGCGTTTTAAACCGTCAAAGTGTTTTATTTAAATATTAGAAACATGTTGCAATCAAGACTAGTTGATTATTAGCCATACATTTGCTACCATTTGAATAAGGAGCTCGTTCGATTAGAATACTTAAGGCCTCAAATCGAACCCCTGACTTCTCATACTTAACGCAATGCTAAACAACGCGTTTAGCAGTAGAGCTACGCATTATGTTTTTAAAAGTACAATTTCTCACCTTAGGTCCCGTCAGTGATGAAGTGTATTTTATAATTTCTGTGTCGGGGGGCAATCTTACGCCACCCAATACTGATGCAGGATCACTGGAAAAAGAAATGATTATTACAAGTCGTTCATAAGTGACTGTTCGATTTATATAGAATGTGCTCTTATCACTCTTTTATATAAATTTGAAAAAAAAAAAAAAATTACAATGCTCATCATTTTTTAAACACTGTTAACAGTTTTTCTTTTATCAATGATTAAGATAGTAAAATTTATGACTAACTAATAAATTGAAAATAAACATTATAGTAAGATCGGCTTTAGTAAAATAAAAACAATAGTTACCCTCCCTCCAATGCAGCACTAATAAAAAATATATATTAAGTTAAGATAATTTTAATTGTCTAAGATAACTTGAATTATTATTAAAGATAATTTCTGTAAGAGTTGTTAGGTTTAGATAATATGTGTCATGATCGGGGCTTACCTGAGTAGATTGTGAGGTAGACCAGTCAAGGAGTCAATGCCAGACCGCCGGTCCTTCTCTGAACCTGGCATACCGAAGGGGTATGGTAGAGGCATGTTCTGAAACAAAATCATTAATTATGTATTAATGTTTATAAAAAGCCTCCAATAAACTGCTTCTTTAGGAACATATGTATTATAATTATAACAACATAATATTAAAATGTGAGATTAACTTTCTAATCCCTTCAATGCACTTAGTTCAGATTTGTATGCTTTGAAAATTACACACCTTTATAATATGAAGCCGCTAGAGACAGAGTAACCTAACTGCAATTTTATAACAGGAGTTATTTATATTTTGATAGTCTAAAAAAATAACATAATTCTTACACCAATATTACTTGTACTATACAAATTCATTTTCACATAAGTTAATTGCGCATTTTTGTTTTTCCTTATTGAAAATCATGTTTTTGTTACTAGCCACTCTGCCTCATATAAAAATTGCATTTATGTACTCAATTTACTTTAATTCAAATTAGTACATAAAACTTTGAAACGAATTTTTAACAACTTAGACCAAATGTAAGAGTTTCATCAAATACAGAAATGGGTAAGTCCTTTACCTTCCCCTTAGCAGCAGCTGCTACAGCTGCATGGTAGGCTCCTTGAGCAGCTGCTTGCGCCAACATGAGCTCGCTGCGTAATACTGATAAATCTCTATCTTTCTCTTTACCTGATGACGATGACTTTCCTGCATCAAGGAAAATATATATTATCTGTTTGTTAAAATGATTTATATATGAATAACCCTAATATGAATAGATTTTCGTAATTCGTGCCTAACATTCAGAATCAATGGACTATAGATTTTATCCTCAAGAGAGCGTAGAGGGAGACTAACGAAGCAATCGAAAGAGATAGCAGAATTTGAATTATCGTAGAATAAGTTGCTGATATTAAAAATATATAGGTATTTAAATAAAACAGTAACAGATTTTAACACGAAATATATTATTTAAATAAAACACTTTAACGGTTCAAAACGCGATGTATTATTTAAACTTATTTGAAATGTCTCCCCGTGACCACGGCGGCTGATGCTCCGAACCGTCGGGCCGAAGTTAAAAATCGTTTTCAAATAAGTTTAACTAATATATCGCGTTTTAAACCGTTAAAGTGTTTTATTTAAATGTGTACTACTCACGTAAACTATAAACAGTACGAAATATATTAGTGAAACATATTTTTTTTTAATTAACTATGACTCTACCACAGTCTTCACCACATATTTATATATTCACTTAAACTACAAACAAACGTAGTATCTCATACACTCAATAAGTATTAGTTATATTTAATATTAAACTTAGGTATACATAAAAATTAGTTTGTTGAAAATTTTAAATTGTAATATCTAAGTTAGAGTTAGTAGAGTTGCACAAACTAATTTATTCTGCTGTTACATAACAAGATAAATAGATCATAGTATACAATGCGTACAAAAACTGCATTGTATACTGTCTGTAGTTTAAGCGAGTAATACACATTTAAATAAAACACTGGAATGGTTTTAAACGCGACGTTATTATTTTCTATCTGGGACACTTGTGGTAGGACGGGTGATCAGTCCACGTTATAAGCAGACCATTTCACCCATTTCCCAATTTCCCCCTGGAAGAGGTTTTGGATCATCCAACGCGACATTAGTTAAACTTCAAATAAGTTTAAACCGTTAAATGTTTTATTACATTGTATTTAAAAAAAGGAGTGATTAAACTGTAGATATGCTAGTAACTCCTTTATAGATAGTAGTTATAAGATACTTACTGCTAGGCGGAGGTTGGGGCTGCTTGCTACTCGGTTTGCTTTGCAACGGTTGTTGCGCCAAATTATTCAAAGAAGCCAAACTGGACAAAGACTGCGAAGCCATGGTGGAGGGAGACGAGGTTTTGGGAAAACCATATGTTGATGCTGTAAAAATGTTGCATTGTCATTGGTATAATTATTTTCATTGCACATAATATAATAATTAGTCTTTAATTTGATTACTATTATTGCAATGAAAAAATGATTTTTACAGAGGAGCACAGATAAGCACGAGGTTCAATTGAAATACCCCAGGCATTTATAATCTCAACAAGATCCGCTGTCGTTTTATTGCTTTGGATATTCTGAAATCCACAGTAACCGTTTTCCTGTCCATGGTGGTTCATGACCTGGACGATATTCTATTATTCCTACATCCATTTAATATCCCGATTTCCAGACGAAGTCCACCATGTTCCAGAAAAATTATTAATTTAATATTAAAAAGTTTTGTACCCAGTGGGGATCAAACTAATTGATTATCAGCCATTGCGAAAATTTTTATACTTGGCTTTAAAACTTAAGTATAAAAACACTATTTCTAATCAGACTCGGAAGCATCAAAGACTTCTTTGATATGTGACTATACAACTTACCCCAATCACTCATATTATGTTGTGAGTTAGTACTCGTTGCTGGGCTCTTGTCTTTGTTAGACATACTGGAAGATGTACTACTTCTGCCTGACCTGAAATAGTAGAAAAACATAAAAACCAAATTGAAACATAACAATGAAAACTGATTTAAGAGATTTTCAAGGTTTATGACATATCAAACTCACTACCAAAGTAGCATTTTGTTTGATCTCGGCTTATATGATATGCACATAAGTTTACTAAGCAATACATTAACGATGCATTCAACTTTTACCTATTTAGTAAAAGATTATGCATTTAATTTTAAAGTAATTCACTATTATATACTAATAATTGGAATAAATCATTAGATGCATTTTAACATGTTTTTTTTTAAATACTGTCTATAGTTTACGCGAGTAGTACACATTTAAATAAAACACTTTAACGGTTTAAAACGCGATATATTAGTTAAACTTATTTGAAAATGATTTTTAACTTCGGCCCGACGTTTCGGATGCTTTGCAGCAGCCGTGGTCACGGGGAGACTAAAGATGGAGGATGTCTCAGACGTCAAAGTAAAGAATTGCTACGCTAGCGCCATCTGTTCCGTCGAAGTTGGTATTTGGCGAAACTGGCCGGGTCCTTACAGAATTGACTAACGGTGTCTTCGCGTTTGCTGGTATGCTGTTTATTGGGATCCAGAGTTTTTAATATGGGATCCCAGGTGTTTGATAGTTTGAGGCCGTCCTCCCTATTGAAATTTCGGTGTTTTTTGATTTCAATTGCTTCGCGTACCAATCTTGGAAAAAATCGACTCTCCTTTGCGAGGATTTTTGGTTGGTCAAAGCGAATGTAGTGATTGGGCCCTTCTGATGAGTGTTGGCATACCGCAGATTTGGAGAGACGTTTATGTTTTATATCCGCGACGTGTTCTTTAATTCTGTTTGAGATGCTACGCTTTGTTTGGCCGATGTGTGACTCACATCACCACCCCAGCCAACTTAGTTCTGTCGGAGTATCTTTGTTTCAGAGAGCCCGCCGTCTCTGTGATGCTGCCCACTTAAATGAGGAGTTACAGCATGTCAAGCAGGTCCTATGCAAGAACAAGCTGAGAGTCCCTCCGCAGCATCCCAGGAACAGGAACAAGCCACCCACAGTCAAACGTCAGCCCGCCTACCTACCATATGTGAAGGGAGTTACAGATAGAATTAGCAGAGTCCTAAATCGAGCTTCTATTGACACAATTTTCAAGCCGCACAAGAAGATTCAGCAATTCCTGAAACCAAGCAAGTGTACTATCCCTTTACAAGATGCAGGCGTTTACAGACTGGATTGTGATTGTGGCCTATCCTACATCGGCCAAACAAAGCGTAGCATCTCAAACAGAATTAAAGAACACGTCGCGGATATAAAACATAAACGTCTCTCCAAATCTGCGGTATGCCAACACTCATCAGAAGGGCCCAATCACTACATTCGCTTTGACCAACCAAAAATCCTCGCAAAGGAGAGTCGATTTTTTCCAAGATTGGTACGCGAAGCAATTGAAATCAAAAAACACCGAAATTTCAATAGGGAGGACGGCCTCAAACTATCAAACACCTGGGATCCCATATTAAAAACTCTGGATCCCAATAAACAGCATACCAGCAAACGCGAAGACACCGTTAGTCAATTCTGTAAGGACCCGGCCAGTTTCGCCAAATACCAACTTCGACGGAACAGATGGCGCTAGCGTAGCAATTCTTTACTTTGACGTCTGAGACATCCTCCATCTTTAGTCTCCCCGTGACCACGGCTGCTGCAAAGCATCCGAAACGTCGGGCCGAAGTTAAAAATCATTTTCAAATAAGTTTAACTAATATATCGCGTTTTAAACCGTTAAAGTGTTTTATTTAAATGTTTTTTTTTTGTGGTTGAAGTCTAGAGAACTAAGAATTTTTTGAATACATACCTTTCATTCCTGCTAGTCTGCTTGGGCGGTTTGCTCTGCTTGAGACCAGAGCCCGATAGCGCTGAGAGAGTAGCATAAGGGTCGCCTAAGGGTGACAGGTTCAAACCCGTGGCCTGCAGTCGAGCTAAGTAATCCTGGGCCGCCAGATGAGACGCCATCGACCACCAAGCCGCACCTTAAAATATTATACATATATTTCGATTCCATAATTTATAAAGCTGAGGAGGTGGTATGCAAAAATAAATTTTGGTGGTGAAAATAATTATTTCACGCGAATAAAGTCGTGGGTATGGTATTAAGCATAAAAAGTACCACGCTTAGTAGAAGTAGGCAGATTATGGTAATTTTTTTCCATTAATAGTTTGACCATCAACTTATTACATAAACTGGGTAACAAATATACTTTTAATAATACAAATAAGAATACTCACTTGCGGCAGGATGTAGTCCCAACGAAGCCGCCTGGTTGGCGGCGACTCCGAGGGTGGTGGGCGGAGGATAGCGTGACCCGAAGCCGAAGAGCGCGGCTTGAGCCTGGGCCTGCGCCTGCGCAGCTGCCGCGCTGCTGGCGCCATCTCGACCCCAGTACGCTGAAACGTTGAAATGTTAATTTCAACAGATCTATTAATTTGTGTGAAATCTCGAATGTATTATGTAAGGCAGTTTAACTTTCTTTATCTATACCAATATATGTAAAGCTGAAGAGTTTGTTTGTTTGAACGCGCGAATCTCAGGAAATACGGACTCGAATTGAAAAATTATTTTTGTGTTGATTATAGCATTTATCGAGTCAGAACATCTGTCATCACTGTGACTAATAGAAGCGAAAATACAGCGGGAAATGTAAACAAAACGTTAGAATATTTTCATATCTATGGGTTTCAGATGCCTACGCTGTGAAAACGGTTTCAGATACCTAAAAAATTGTACGACAGAATGATTCCTCTTTAAATAATATAAAAAAAGTCCGCGAAGCTATATTACTATCTATCTTTTAAGATTAACTTGCAAGAACGACGGGAAGAGACGCGACCGACGTCGTGGCTAACAGCTTAAGTTAATAAAGATGCCGGGGTTTGTTGGGGATGACGAAGTCGCTGGCACAGTTAGTTTTATATATTTTTAAAGTTTATTTCCGAAGTGCGTCAATCCGCTGTCGATCTATTTTTGGGTTAGGGCATTCGAAAATCCACAGACTACAACCGGCATAAGATCGGTGATTATTAAACCAGACTAAATGTCCTATATTTCTACTAACTATTCAACAACGACTTTACCAGCTTTTACAAACGATATATTTTAAAAAACACGTTGGTCTGTAGGCATAGAATCTATGACTTGCTAGTCATTTAAGAAATAATGAGTCATTCAACTTCAAGAATCGATTAAGACTAATACATACACAAAGCTGCGAGTGTGAAACGTGTTATTTCCAGCAAAAACGAATTCCTCATTACAGATAGCAATATCAAAGCTAAGAAGCGTCTTTAAAATCTAAAGCACTTATCGATTCTTTGCGAAACAAAAAACGCATACATTAAATTATGGACCTTAACACGTTGTAATAAGAATCAATGTATCTGCATATTATAACATAGTTTGCAATAAAAGCACAATGACCTCGACAGCATTATGGTGTTAGGTGTTGCGGTGGATAACGTACCTTATCTCATGGTGTTAAGGGTTATTTTAGATGAAATATATTATGGGATCGGTAAGCATTGACATAAGGATGGTCATGTTGAACTGGCATTATGGACGTATGGTTACAGTAATTGCTATATTATAAAACGCGTCTATGGGAGCCATAGGATTATCTCACATATATAAAACGAAACCGATCCCCGGTCGAGTATATTTGCTATTTATGTAAATGCTGACACGTGCTTTCCATTACAGAAACATGTCAACATCAATTAAATAAATCTATTTTAACTGTTTAAAACGCGAAATTTATCGACTTATTACAACATATAAAGCGGTTGCAAAGAATCCGAAACATCGAGTCATAGTTAATGTGATGTAAATAAGATAACTAATACATTAAAGTGTTTGAATTTAATGTCAATACCAAAAATTCGAGCGTCTGTCAAGAGGCCCTTACAGACGGATAGATAAATGTTCTAACCGACACCAAAAGTTTTTTAACTTAATATACAAGCATACATAATTGCATTGATTTCTAAGCCGTGTAATTATGCAACGGCAATATAATAGTATGCAAATAAGAGATATCAATGTTTAGTATTAATATAGATATACTTAGCTTATATGGAACGATTGTTTTATCAGTGGACTTGAAATATCTAACCCATGAATGGTCCAAGTCTCGAATAGTAGTAGTCATTAAAATAAAACACTTTTAACGGTTTAAAACGCGAAATATATAAGTTGACTTATTTACAATTTATTTTAACTAGATGCTAGATGACATCTACACTTCAAATTTAATTTTTCAACGCGTTGACCGGACTCAAACTTTTTTTTTTTGTAATTTCTTCGTAAGTGATCATGTCAAATATATATATTATGTACTAAATAAATACTAAGACAAATTACCTCCAAAGAGTGCAGAGGGGTCGAACTGGGCATCGGGCGGCGGTTTCGCGGTCGCATCCCCGCCTTCCCCGGTCTCCTTGTCCATACCACACCTGGAAATTATTAAAACAATCTATTATATAATTTATGGACAATAGCTATAAGCATATATTTGTAGTTTTATATTCAGGCGAATAATTAATTTGTAATCTTTATATTACACAATTATCTATAGGTATGAATAAAAAGTTGAAAACAATTTTTCAATTACGATATCCTACCAGTGGAAACTTAAAAAGCTTTAAAAACGGACAAAGGAAGCCTAATACAAAATATACGTAAATCTAATCTAGTGAAGTTTATAATATTTGCAAAAACGTAAATAAAAAAAAAATTATTAGAAAACGAGAATAAGTTGAAAAAAATTACTCGGGCAGGACTTGACTCGGTAGCTCAATTGGTTAGAGCAGCAGCACGGAACGCTGAGCATGCCGGTTCAAGTCCTGCCGGAGTCGTCATTTATTTTAATTTATAATCGATTTTCAATTCATATAATGCCTTAATGTGCAATAACATGTGAAAAATATTAATAACATGTTAAAAACCCGATGTAAATTGGTTTACAAAAAATCGCGTTTTAATCGGTTAAATGAGTTTTATTTAAACATAGGAAGTTACTGGGCCAATGGCCCAAGATCCTAGACCTTGAATATTTTAGTAGAACATACTCTATTTCTTAAATAATTTAGCTGAAGGTCGGTTTTTATGGTCGAGGGGAGAAAGTGTGTCAGTTGACCTAGGTTAGGTATTCGCGTCATCCTAACATAAGCTAGGAAAATATTAATAGCAGAAGACTAGAGATATAGATGAAGCAACATCACAAACCTTTGCTTTTTTAAGATGGAGGAGGAAAGACAAATAAGTAGTTAATTTGAGGAAAGGTGAAATATATACCCAAGGCGCTGTCGTCCTATATATACATTTGGTAATCTAGACTGAAACCCAAACGCGATTAAACTTCACGGCATTTTTACCTGCGGATGGTGGTTCGTGACCCGACCGTTCACTTAGTCCCTTGTGACATGTGATGTCATTAATATATCTAGGAACAGAATGAAACGATCTTAATAATTAGGTTACATTAGATTGCGCATCAAAATCGATTCAGCCGTTTCCAGTCTAGCCAGCCAGTAGCAGTAGGCAGTTAAAATACGTTTAAATTTGTATGAATTATAGAAAAATTAGTTGTTTAACGTGATCACCTAATTAGGAATCACTTACAATAAACAGGTTATTCACCTCGCATGGTGAGTCAACGTTGAAATTCATGATACATAAGGAAATGTTATACACTGGGCGTCTCCGTTTTGCTTTTCAGTCCCACCAATATATCCTAAATAGTTGTGTCACCGACTTTGTCCGCGCAGAACCCCTATTTTGGGTATTAAAATTTGCAAGCCTTCTCCACATCTTTAAAAATTACAGCTGTTATCTACGACCTCGTTTTAGAGCATTCTTTAATTTCGCGTGTCAATCAAATATACTTGATGATATATGAACGTATATAAACGTTATATTTATATTTTTACTATAAATGTCTATACCTACCGATTCTTATCAAACTTTAATTGTTTGATGTTGGTTTTTTGTTGGTAGATGACGAATGCCTTAAAAATATAACACCTGTCTATAGTTTAAAAACACTTTAACGGTTTAATTCGCGTTATAAGAATATATTATTCAACTTTAGTTAGGTACAAAGGACGGACGTAAGTAGCGTAGCAGTTTCTACATGAACATTGGGGGTTGAATGTTTGTATGGAAATTCGTGGTTTTTGAAGCTAGAACAATGAAACTTTCTTCTTTGGCTTTTTGGGAGTGGGAATGGGAGTGGGGGGTGAGAGTGAGAGTTAGAGTAGGAGTGATGTGCGGTGAGAGTGTTGCGACAAAGTAGCACTTACAACTTAACACTTACTTGGCTGCGATAAATGCGCAATTACACACATACATTAATAAACAGCCTGAATAATTAAAAATTCTACCACAAGTCACTATTCCACGAATTAAGCCGCGGGCACAGCTAGTTTGAAATAATAATTGCATAACAGCTTAACGATAGATAAACATAAGAAACAGTTGGGCGGTATTGCTAGAAATTTTCGTATGTTATTAATAATTCTCTGATAAATAAATGTCAATATTAATAAACCATAACGAAACTTTCACACACAAAAAGGTGAGCCAAATGAGCGATTTATTTAAAGCAAATAAAATCAATAGCTGAGCAAAAAGCATGCGATTGTTTGCCATTTCTCATGTTAACGCTCTCGTTCTAGCAAAAGAATAATTCTTTTTGCCGAGGTGTAAAATATCTTGTTACTTTTGTGATGTCATGGGTTTTGCAGACGAGTTTTTCTCGTCAACATTGCGTCGTATAATTCATGTACTTTTAAGCAAAACTTAAACGGTTTAAAACGCAAAATATATTCGTTACTCAGTTCGTCCTGACGTTTTAATACATCTGATACCGTAACCAAGACTCATTGGTGAAGTTGTATCAATGATGATGTCTATAGCTTACAAGTCGTAAGTTCGAATCTCACAACGCCTGTTTTTTTTTAACGTAAGGAAATCCTTTCGGAGGAAAACCGCACCAGAAGGAGCAAATAGGTTATGTCGGACTTAAATCGACTAAAACGTCTGACTGACAAATGTGAAAGAATTCTCACAAAGCCTAGCATGTTTGAAATAACGTCTGGTAACCCGTGGTAACGTAACAAACAAAGTATCGTTTGTAGTTTATGCGAGTAATTGCACAATGAAAAAAAAAACAACCGCTTTAAACGCCAAATAAATAATTTATTTTTAATTTAACTACGGCTCAGTGTTTTGGATGCAGATGCCGTGGTCACGGTGGGACTGAAGATGGTCGGTGTCCCTAATGTCAAATCAAAAGTGCAACGCTAGCGCCATCAGGTTCATCGTTTGTAACTAAGTTTGAATAATATATTTCGCGTTTTAGATATCCAAATATTCAAGGCTAAAATAGCACATCTTGAAAATGTGTTAACGGATATGGGGATTATACCTTTCATCTTCTAATTCCTGACTATTGTAATAACTTCTTATCATGTCCTATAATCTAACTACGCGAACTATCGATGTTCTAAGTTTTAATATATTTAGCGTTCATACAATACTTAAGTAACGATTATAATAGTCAGGCCAATTTATGAACGTGATTACGAAATGCCTAATCGTCCCTCAAATCTGTTGCGTCAATACTGTCTGTAGTTCAGTTAGAGTAGTACACATTTAAATTAAACACTAACGGTTTAAAACGCGATGTATATTAGTAAAGACAATAAGTCAAATAAAGTATGTTATTTAATAGCATAATATAATATTTTGGTATGTATTTGCTGCTTAAATTTGTCTAAACTTGCTTAAAACGTCTGTAATACCAACTATGTATTTCAATAAGCTCTAATATATATCGCGTTTTAAACCGTTAAATGTGTTTTATTCGATAAAACTTAGTCTTCCAACCTAACCGAGCCTATGTATTGCAGATTACGTGTAATTCTCACGACAGGGTCCAACTTAGCTGAACGTGTTAGCCGGTCCTCGATAGACAATGCGGGTCATTGACCGCTGACCGTTTTACTTGATAACTAGAAAGCGAACTGTCATGTTAAATACATTTGTCGATCGCTTTTTATGGAAACTATACTTATAATCGTGTCTTACCAACGTCTGTTTGCTTCTAAGTACGTATATGAAAGGAAATAATAGACATGGGACATAACTTAGAGGAGACAGGGGGTTCGCTTGGTGGTGATATACCCCAGCCATATAACATTTCAACGAGATGTTGTCGACCTATTTTGAAATTTTGATATCTACAATAAATGTAGTGCTCTTTTGTCTTTCTCTGTCGCACAAAATATTTTTTTAAAGTAAATAATTTAGCTATAAATAAGGAGGAATGATAAAAATATGTATAAGAAATAATATGTTCGAAAACTTAAATGATGGCGCTAATAAATAAAACATGGATAATAGATTGAAAAAAAAAAAAAAAAACGACACGTTGTTGCTTTGTGGGTGCCGGTTCGAGTCCTGGCCGTGTCGTAAATATTTTTCAATCTATAGTCGATTTTGACAGTGTACTGTTCAAGACACACGCAGTGGCGACCGGCAAGCGTAGGAAATCAGTATAATTTAGTCGCGCGAGTTTTCGCGTTTATATCCAGGCGGGTAACGCGTACATTTTCCTGTATTAAAAACATGACAACATACGCATTAAAAACCTACCTCTAGTGATAGTTAACATCCAGAAATAGGTCGCCCGTAGACCGTTTGTACACACATTTTCACTTTGTCACTTCACTTGTCACTCGTTCTCCACTTCACCAACACATCACTCATCCGATCTGAAACGAAGGAGAGAAATATTGAGTACAAATGTGATTAGAGAGTAAGATTGAGAGATAATATTATTTTCATAAATGATTAGTTCGTTGCAACCTTTTTAAACATTTATGTAACCCCTGCCAAACATAAGCAAGCACCTGTTCCTTCAGGGGACATAAATATCCAAATTAAGGCTTTGCACAGCTATGCTCTCTAACAGCAGTGTTTAAATAAAACGGGCTCGTTGGTTGGTATCAATGTAAGGCTAGTAATCAAAAAGTCCCGGCTTTGATCACTACGGGTTCCAACATGCTTGTATTCAATTTATATTTTTTCTGAGACATGTTGGATTTCGTCTGAGAATCTGGATAATAAATGCTAGGAATATCGATACTCTACAAGTGAAAAGGACATCAGGTTTAATCGTGTTTCGGCTTCAGTTTGTGGATTTCCGAATATCCAATGTCAAAATAGGTCGACAGCGCTTCTTGATTAAATTTTAAATGACTGCAAGTCATTTATATCCGTGTTTTAAACCGTTTTATTCAAATGTGTACTTCTCGCGTAAATTGCAGATAGTGTTTCCTACACGTTACACTTCTGTAATGTTATTAATAAAAAATAATCATTGATTTATAGGAATAATTATTTCTTACATGTCTTTACTATCTACATCTAAGAATAAGCATT